GAAGTACCTGTTGAGAGCAGGATATTACACGCCTGTGTCATCATTCCAATATCAGCTAAATCCCCTAATAACAACAACTCCTGGTGTGATTTGAGTCAGGAAGTGATCTGCACTGTCCAAACACAATGTCACAGCCCCTCAAACATTTTCACTGGCAATGTCATGCCTAAATATCCTGCAGCCTCTGTGTTGATTTAAAAGAATGACATTCTTTGCGGATGGTTTATTTCTTTCCCGCCGCTAACCACATGCAATAAGCAATCTGGAGATTTGCAATGGTTTGGCCCTGGTATTGAAGCAGCTCTTAATGTATTTCATGCTTATTTAAGATCTTTGCATGCTTCTTATAAAGGTGCATGGCGTTCACTGTTGCTTATTACCATGCTGTGTGTAGAACTGGAGTTCTGCAAAAGGTAGAAAAGCAGATGGACGATAGTGTGGGTCCTTTTGTCAGCCTCTTGTTTTGTGCCCTCTGTAGTGATCTCTGCATGCCTATTAATGTAGGAGAGGAATGCCTGTGTAAACATTGTTGTTTCTCAGTCCGTTTCGCATTATAGTTGCCTGTGTCGCCTTTCTCCTGACCTTACTATCTGAAACCAATTACACCAGATCCATTTGGGCTGAATCTTATTTTCATAAGGATCCCTGTGTCGCAGTCTTGGTCACACTGTGTTATTTTCCCTCCCTGTATTTCTTTCCCCCTTTTTTTCCAGAGTCTGTGATGGATATCAACATCAAATATGCCTCTGAGTGCCTTGTTATTTATATAGCGAGGGCCTGGCTCTTTTTTTTTTTCTTTTTTACACTGTCTGCCTTGCTCTCTCATTCTAAGAATGTACCACATTGTGCTGTTTATACAATGTGTGAATTAATAGACTGGGAATGTCATTTTTTCGTGCATAGCAACCTAAGGTTAAATAGCTGGAGCATCTGTACCAGTGTGTGTATGCATGTTTTTTTTTTTTTTTCTTGTCCGCTCAGGCAGCTCTTCAGCCAACTTTTGATGACTTTCCTTTTTGTGCTTTCATACGGGCTTTAGCTCCAGCATGTATGCGGAGCGAGGAGTGGGTGGCACAAATTGGTGCTTTTTACTGTAATGGCTGAATACTCAGAGCTGGTGAAAGAGAAGGAAAAAGACCTTTCATCCCACCCCCCCTCCATTTTTACCTTCCACACCATCACACGCTCTCCGAAAAAAATGACTAACCCCAATTCCATGGAGGAGGTGCCAGACTGCTTCAGACATGACATGCCACTCTGAAAAAGTTCTGTCCGGTGTTGATAAGGCCTGTGTTATGTCCTCAGTATGAGCAGCCTCCTCTTTTTAACAAGCCTGGCATAGATGATCTCCTTGCTTCCTTTGATATGCATTCCGAATGAATGGATTTGCTTCTTTAAAAGTATACTTTTAACTTTACATACGTCACTGTATTTAACCTGGCTGACAAACCAACAAAAAGTGTTGAATAGTTAAGAACATTCCAGTATTTTTACATATATAAAAGTTTGAAAGTGTGGCATGCATTTGTATTCAGCCCTCCTAACTATATTGTGAAACCCTTTTCCCCCATATGATGATAAAGTGAGGAAAAGTGCAAAGTTGCTTTAGATGGTAACTATATTTAGTCTATTGCGTAAAATGACTCCACCTTTCTGTTTTATGTCCACTCTATATATTTGACACAAATACAGTGCATGTTATGAGGTTACACATTTACCAACAGAGACTTCTGTATAATTTTAAAGTGATTATCAAATATATAGTAATGGTTCTTAATGTCTGGACTTAAAGCTGTGTGGTATACATTTGCATTTAGGCCACTTTAATCTGCACACCTCAAATAGAATTCAATGCAAAGAATTCCCTTCAGAATTCCCCAATAAAGGACTAAATTATCCCCATGCTGTTACATGGTGGTAGCAGCATCATGCTGTTGGGAAGCTTGTCAGAGTGGCAAGACATTTTTTGGACACTCCACGCTGTCTCATTTGGACTACATATAAATGCGCTTTGTAACAATATCAAATCTTAAATATCTGAATGATTATTTTTTATCAATTTTGTGCACCTTTATGACCTATAATAAGAAAAAACATAGATATTTTAATCAAAACATTTTAAAATAAAGGGGTATACATCTGTTCTTAAGATAAGGCACTGTACTGTGTTGAAAAAGATGCTTATGTGAGTGTTGTTAAATTATTATTTTTTTTTATTTTTTCTTTTGACCCTTTCGCAATATATAAAGGAGCTTTTGTGTATTTGTATAACACAGTAAGTCACTATTGATTCACACATGGATAAACATTTCCCCCCGCCAGCTAGCTTTAGTCGCACTCATCAAGCAACCCTCCCCTCTAACTACTGTGTGCAGGACTCAATAAGCCTTATAATTACCTTGATTCACCAATCATGGTGAGATTAATTGGGCCCTGTGTTTTAATTAGCAAAGTGATTGGATGCATTCAAAAAATTGATGTTGTCTTTTATGCCTGGTAAAAAAAAAGAAAAGAAAAAAAAATGCTTCATTTCTCCACCCATGACAGAAGTTTGCGCGTGTCTCTGCTCAGTGCCGTTGCTGATGTGCACTTTAGTGTGTGTTTTGAAGAAACAACTAGAGCTCAGCTTACAGATGCCACCATACACAGTCACATGTATATAAACTAGTGGGGACTGTGATCCTTTTACCGAAGAGATGGATCAATACAATTAGGACCCAGTGCCAGTGTAATGTGTTTGTTTACTTTGAATCAGAAGTCCTGGCTCCTCCTGAGCAGCCAGACAGCTCCCTCCCCAGACCCACCTCCACCTCTCAAGGCACCTCCCGAGCTCTTTCTTTTCATAATTGATCAGCAGAGGGGGGGATTGGATGTGTTCCCTGAGGGGGTTAAGGCATGGCAACTTTTTCCTCTCCTCCTTTCCTCCTCTTTTTTCCCCCCCATTTGCCTTTTCTCTATCTGTCTGCTGTCTTCTCTGTCTGTTTGCACAGGATCTCAATGTACTAGTTCAAACATTGTTCCCATCAGCTGGTTTGAGCTGCGCCATATGCACGTCTGTCAAAGCAGCCGTTGTCATGGATACCAACTAGCACCAGAATGAAATGAGAACCTGAGATTCTGGAGGAAGTGTCGCTCTCCACCTAAGTTTGAGTTTTAAACAGAAAAAGAAAGACTGTGAAGTTGTTGTGCTGCTCCTGCTTGATGCTTCTCAGCACAGAGAGCAAGTTGTTCTGTTGTATTGCGTTCTCTACTGCTGGACTCTCTAATGCTTCTGTTGAAGAACTGTGGGAAGCTGCTCGCCTGCATGCGTGTTCACCGTGGAGCTGAAAGCAATGATGCAATAAAAAAAAACAAAAAAACATACCAGCCTTTTTGATTCTCATGAAGCTGGTTTCTTCTCCACACTATGAAGAAAAAAATTATTTATCTCCTGGCACATCTCATATTGATTAACTCTTTGAAGTAAATACTTTTTTTTAATTTGAGTTATCTTTTGTCATCATTTGGTTGTGGAAGTTGGAGCTTGACATTTTATCGTATCTCAGTTAAACATGTTTGTTTTAAGTTAGAAACAAATAGAATTGCTGTCGTTTTGACAGAGCTTCCCATTAGGCTGGCTGACAATACTCTAAAATACTCAGTAAAAAGGTTTTTAAACCACCTGGAGCAAACAGTGAATTACTTTTATTGTTGATCTTCTGTTGGGGATCTTAATGATAAGAACAAGGGATTTTGTACAGTTTTCAGTCAGGACAGAGTTTCATAATCTCAAGTTAAAATTTTACATTTATGGATTGGATTGTGTTTTTTGAAATGATAATGTTTTTTTTTGTTTTGTTTTGGTAACATTTTTAATCTCATATTTAGAGAGTTTTAAAACTTGTTAACCATAACCATAACATTGAGTACAGACGAGTTAAAAGGTATAGTGGAGGATTTTCGCGAATTTTTTGAAAACAACCGCCCTCTTCACTTAAAAAAAGAAAAAAAAATGCACATGCACAACCCTGTACCTGCTCCCGAGAGGGAAAGCCTATTAAATGCATGCAGGAGCCCATTTCTCCTCGTGCACTCTCTGTTTAAAAGTAGCTCTTTGCATCGCTCATACAAGCTTACGTTCCAAATGAAGATTTGCAATTCTTTCCACCAGTAAGTGAAAATTGGGACAAGCACATAGGACAACCTTACGTAAACATATCACCAGAATGATTGACAATAAAGAGGACCATTTATTTTAATGATCCACCCAGAAAAAAATATAAAAAATCTTCCATTATACCTTTAAGATGCAGTTTTGGCTCTGTGAAGATCATTATTTTCATATGTCCCCAACCAATGTTAGTCCTTTAAAAGTCAATATCGCACAAAATTTTACCTCGTCTCAACAGGTGTTGATGAAAAAAAATTACAATTTACAAGCGCAAACTTCAGATCTGTCAAGATCTGTGTAAACAGCTGTGAAGTAATTTTTATTAAGATGGGGAACATTCTCTCTATCCCCACCAATCTATTAATCTCTCTATCTATCTACCCATCCTCTGCACATAAGCACCCTTAATGCACAGTGTAAAACCTGGACTGCTGGTTAATTCATTCTAAATGTAATCTGATGTTGATTTTGTCAACTTTAATTACAGCTCCCAGGGACACTTCACATGGTGCTGCCTCTACTTCACATTGATATTATGAATATGCAAATGTGCTGGTAATTTGCGGTGGGAAGTGGATATTTCAGTTGAGCACACACTAGACAGGTCAATTCTACTCCCCATCACCCCCCCCCCCACACACACACACACATACACACACTCATCGTCATTCTTCAGAGGTGCTTTAGACAAACAGCATTTATCTGTGATCATAACTATACCAGATGTTACTGAAACATATCTTTAGCGATACTTAAACAACATGAAATGTTTTCTCATTCAGCTTTGTCTTTCAAAAAGTAGTTATTTTTCACACTTTTTTGTGTGTGTGTTGTGCTCTCTTCTTTCCAGGCACTACAAGCAGCGAGGCAATTACTCTTGCAGCAGCCAGGCAGTGGCCTGAAATCTCCAAAGAGCCAGGACAAGCAGCGTCCACTGCAGGTAAAGCGGCTCCCTCCGTCTAATCTCTTAAGTCCGTCCGTGATACACGCTCCTCCCAATAAAGAAGATTTCCTTTGTTCCACAAAGTGTGTTTGATTTGCCCACGCAATCTTCGTCCTAGGATCTTTAAGATGAATAAGTCAGTCCCATCAAACCCCAGAAGAACAGCATGACAAAGAAAGTACAAGTTTTACTCACGCTGGCCTTAGAAGTATCAGTCAAGCTAGAAATGTTTTGATAAGTCTTTCCGAAGGTTATTTATTAGCATACCCTTGCACTGAATGCTTTTATTCATATTATTCCGTTTTTTACACAGGAAATCCTTTTTTTTTTTTATACACGTCAGCCGGAATATTTGGTCACCAACCTTTTTTATTTCTCCCTGTCATTTTCCTCCTTCGGTGCTAATTTACCTTATTGATTTGTTAGAGCTGTCTATTTCTGTTGTCAGTGATTCGGAAAAGGTCACACATATGCAGGCGCGCTCACACTCCCATCCCCACACGCCGCCTACCGCCCTCTTGCTCTCTGGTGTTAAGATATTTTTCTCACATAAGCATCTTTTTCATCTCGCTCTTTTACGTCAACAAGGCGTTTATTTAGTTTACCCCTCCATCAAATTACGTAAAGCCCCTTGACATCTGCCTCAATGTCTTATTAACAGCACTTTTTTTATTTTTTTTATTTACTGTTTTAACAGTTTGAAGTTGAAGTGTGAGAGTTTGTGCCCTGTTCTAGGCTAATAAGTAGCATCAAGGAGCAGTGGTTTACCTCATTAGGAAGCTCTGTGCATTTCATTAATGACAGGGAAATTGGCGTTAACCTCACCCGTTGATATTTTCACAAAGTCTTAACAATGGCGACACCTTGAATTGGAGTCACACCCCCGTGTATCTAATTACGCGCCGGTGAAGAGATAAGGTTGCCAAAGACTCTTCTGTCATCCTTCTTCCTTGAATTATTCAGCGTAGACTCTTCAAAAGTGTTAGTATTGATAGTACTTCCATAGACAGATACAGACAGATTGCACTTTTTTACATTTTATTGATGTTTATTGCTGGAAATTTGATGCGATAGACAAACAAAACAGAAACTAATTGTGAAGGATCATTTTTAAGCTTAGCATACTGGTGATAGAACTTAACATTTCTTGTTTTAAATGTTTTTCTCATCACCTTCAAAGGTTCTGGTTAACTTAAACCTGGATAGCTTCCAGCATTAAGCCCTATTCCTGCTTAAAGTTAATTACACACAGAGGGACCATATTGAGTAGGTTGCACAAGGTTTTATGAAGAGCCATTGGAGTAAAAGGGGGTGAATCCAAATGCACTTTTTAGATTTTAAGTTGTAAAACCTTTTTAAAAGCATCATTCCTTTCCCCTTCACTATATACTGCTTTATTTGGTCTATATCCTGTAATCCCAGTCAAGTAATTCAAGTAAAAGTAAAAGTACCTTTGTTGAGTACTGAGCAAATGTCTAGCACCTCAAAATCCAAAACTCAACCTTTCGACCAAACCCAATGGAGGGTGTGTTGGGGCGTTTAGAACAATCTCCCCATGTCCAAGCACCTTTCTCTAATAACTGCAGTAGATGGTAAATATTGAATATTTACATTTGCTTACTCCTGCCTACGCTGGCTGTGGTGTGAATCAATATGAATCTGATGGTTTGCAGGTCAGGCTGTCCACTTCCAACGAATTATTTGTTTATCTTCACCTTCTTGTTGGAAAGAAAAGTTTACATCCATGGTGTATTGCTATAAAAAAGAAAATGTTGATTCTCTGAGTAGTACACTTAATTTTTGTAGTAGGAATATGCAGCTGAGCAGCTTTGAATCCTCTCATTTCAAATGACATTTCCCCATAATACTCCTGTGTGCAAATATCAGAGTAAAGAAGAAGAAAATTACTTCATTAAAAACAACTTTTTTTTTTCACTTCCAGTTATTTTTTTTTTCCATTTTGTTTTTGTCTTGAGGGAGTTCACTCAATAAAGCTGTGTTATTTACCTGGATTATAAGGCCGCAACGGACGCTACAGTGCAATATTTTATTAGCTTCAAAGCTAGATCAGAGTCAGCTGTAATCAAACTACATGTTTTCCACCCGAGGAATCATGCGGATTGATCCCCTTGTATGATTAGTGCTGCTGAAAGTGGGAAAAGGATTAATATAACCATGACATCCTGCTTATGGCAGAGACGCTGATAAATCCTCCGCCAGTTTCTTGCCTCTTGTTCTCTGTCGTTGCTATTTAGGAGAGAGAAATGATCCATAGATCATGGCATGTAAATTATTTAGTACACAAGCATCTAAGTGCCTCAGCTTGCAGTTTTAATTACTCGTATTAGCAGCTAAAGGCTCTTGCCTGACTAATTCTATCCGCTCGTTCATCGTTGCTTCTCAGAAGTTGATGATGCGGAGGCAGGCAGCTCTAGCAGTGAAATATGCACACACACATAGGATACAAAACAACAACAGCCCAACAAACACACATACAGAAGCTGTTTCTCCACATTTGCGTAATGTGACAGGTCTATTATTACACAGTAAGCCCACGGGAGCACTCAATAAACACCTATTTCTTCCTGTAAATCCTCCTGTCTCCGGCTGCTGCTTACTCTACTCTCCCAAGGCACAACACCCTCTTGTCTCTGCTCCTTTTTTACCACTGCTCTCCACTCTTCTCTATGGTGATGTATTACTCCCCCCAAAAGGCATTTATACCCTGACATTTATAATACAAATAAAGAAATGCGTACAAGAAAAGGTGGACAGTAAACAGATAATTGGATAGTTTTTATGTCGCATTTGCATGTTCACATGCATCATCACATAGCTGCAAAAGGGGTCAATGTAATTTAGAAATGGTTAGCAGGTAAACATTTAAATGTCCTTGATATATCTGGAATTGATCTGTTATTTTTACCAAAATTTGAATACTCCATTATTGTTGGCCTTAAAAGTCAACTCATTCAAGAACCAGAAAGAATGAATAGAAGAAATAATGTAAGGAAATAAAAAAAAAGGAACAAAAAAACATCAAATTACAAAAGACGGGGAAAATGGACGGAAGGAAGAAAGGATTTTTATAGAACTCAATGCTTTTCCTAACTGTGTAGGAATCTTGAGACATACTTATAACAGCGGGAATGACCAGCCCTGACCTTTCTCTGTAAGTGTTAGATGGATGCTTGATAGTGTGAGCCTGCAACTCGACCTCCTCTTGCAGTGATTAAAATTCGATCCTGCGTCATACAAAGCTAGATAATCTGCCCCAAGCCACTGTTGCAACCACTGTGCCTACACTTACACACTGCCAAGCTGTGAATGCATTTTTATGAGACTAATAATGTCGGTTCCATCTGCACAACGTTGATTTGAATGTAGAAAGGATACAGGAGTTGTGAAGGATTTTGGTTTTGCTACTTTTCGTGTCTTCACAGCTCTGTGCCCGGACGATTCAAACTAGCTGTGGTCACTGGGCCATCAGAGCAAGTGTCACACTTTTAAAGGTCAACTCAGCAAATTTTAACAGCAAGCCAGTATCATTTCAATTCATGCACATGTCTTGCAAAGGGCCTTGACGCTCAGTGTAAGTATTGCTTGACTTACTCCATTGTGCATGGCGAAAAGGATGCTAGATCACATTTACATTTATGAATATATCTTTCCACTGCATCCCCTCTGGTTGCATCTGAAAATAGAGAAAAATTATCACAGCAAAGGGGAAAAACGAGAGGGGGAAAATATTATGTTATTCATGAGGAAAACTTCTGTTGACTCTGAGAAAGAAAGAGTAAAAAAAAAAAGTGTCAGCACATTTTAAGTCAAACACCCTTGGTTACTGCTTTTGTAACAGAAAACAAGATTTTTTTTCATGTCCCCTCCTTCTCCCACTACCTCGTCTCTTTTTTTTTCTTCTTGCATTTACAACACCTACAGGACAAGATTGCTAAATTGCGAGGACAGAGTAGGTTCATCATTGTGATGCAAAAGAAGTTGAAATGCAACCCCAAGGCGAGGTAGCTGAGTTTGAGGGATCAAGAGAAAGTGAGAGGGAGGGATAAAAAAAAGTAGCTCAGACCTTTGATGTAGCAGCAACAAATTTACCTTGTGACAGAAGATACATGGGTGCAATAAACGAGTTATACCAGCCCTTACACATGCAATCAGATGATTCTGGCCAGGGTGTTAATTGGATCCTAACCGGCAGATCTGATACGCCTGGGCCCCGGTGGTGAGGGGGGGAAAGCCTTTCCAAGTGATGAACTATAATTCACTGAGCTGCTTGAAGCACTTGTAATTTACTGTGTGTCACTGATGAAGAGGCTGATCCAGTGGAGGCCATATTACCTGCAACATCAGAGGAAAATGCCCCCCCATCCACCCTAAACCCACAGGCACACACATTCATACCAACATTCCCGTCACCTGCGCTCACGCTTCCTATTTCAACTCTCTCTTCTCGTTGCTCATTCCTTTTAATTCTCTCCCCTTTACTTATACTGTTGCACCCCTTGAGGGAGTTTAGCAAGCATCAGGGAGGAGAGAACTAAGCCAGTTTTGCTGATAAAGGTGCGTCAGTGTGCACTGATAATGAAGCAAACAATGCGCGTGAGCTATACACAAGCGTGCACTGGATTCACAAGGTCTAATCAGTAAGTTTCTACATGTACAGATAAATCAATATGGAAATTGTTCTAAGCTCTATCCAAGCTCCTGAGGGACTTCTATTAGATGCTTTTACATGATGGGTCTTTATGTTATTATAAATTGCAGTTACTGTGCACTGCTGCCAAACCGGTATAGAAATTGATTTAGGAAAACTTGCGGTAATCCACTTAGCTTACGACTGACAAACTAGGGCATCGATCTCCAAAAGCTCAACATGTGTTCAAGACACGATTCTGTCTATACATGTTCGATTAAAACACACATACTCTACTTATACACCTTGTGGAAGGTTTTTTGGTGACAATTCAACCTTTTTATTCTAATAGCCTTAAATTGCTTTTAGATAAAGTTCACAAGCACAACACTAAACAAACCATTCCCATGGTGAGACACAGTGATGGCTGTATCATTATGAGGGAAGAGTTCTTTGGTCAGAGCTGATGAGAAAATGGATGGAGCTACAGTAGATACAGTGCTGTAAAAAAAATGTTTGTAGGGAAAAAGACTTAAGACTTAGATATTGCTTCACCTTCCAGTAAGATAACAATCTGAAACATTAAATTACATTAAATTTAATCACCTATATCAAACCAGAGACATGTGTTGAAATGAAACAGAGTCCAGACCTAAATCTTAGTGGAGACTCCTTGGCTTGCATAATTTTTGCAAACATGGCTAAAAAGTTGAAAAGAAAAGACTAGGTCTACGGTTGCAGCAATTGGTTGCAGCAAATACTGCTGCGTCCTAGGATGAGTAGTTGACATTATCCAACTACTCAATATGGTCCCTCTTCCCACCAAGTACTGATGTTTAGCTCTAGCCATCTCTAACCATCATCCTGTCAGCTCTCTGCAGCTACCTTTACTCTGTTAAAGAAAACATCCCCACAAACAGGGGAAATCACCACCAGAGTATGTTTAAGATACCCAATGGCAATTGTTTTCAAACTGTTTTATATTGGGGTGTCAGACTTATGAGGAAAATAGAAATCCATTCACATTTTTATATTGTACTTTAAGAAACCATGTGAATAATTTTTCAAGGCATAGAACCCTACCCCATTGCAAAGTTTCCTGACTATCATTGATGCTCTGGGCCACATTTGGTTGTAATTGGCTAGCAGATGAATGGTAACTGAAAGGGAGTTGCGATGTTAGGAGTCAACAGGCTCCCACAGGGGTCTGCATTTTTCGAAGCAGCGATGAAAGTAGATAGGGTTTCTGCCCTCTTCTCCTGATTTCTTAATCTTTCTTACTGAGTGTGTGTAAAAATAGAGCCAGTGGCTTAATTAGTAGTCACTTCTATCATGCCAAAGATTCACAGTAATTAAAGACAAGGACCCCTCGATTTCTTATTGCTTTAATCTCTGCAGTATCTGCAGCTCCACTCGGTTTCCTGTACTTGTGACTGAAACATCTGTGGTTGACATCTAATCATTACTTTTCCGTCTCCAGTTAGTTGTGCTAAGCTAAAAATTTTTTTGGATTCTTGTTTACAAAATTTTCATTAAATACACATGTGGTAGAGCTAAAATACCATAGTACAGTAGCTGACTAGCAGAAATGCACTTCAAGAAGATAAGATTTTGCTTATTTAGATAAGGGCCCAATCAACGTTTCACATCAGGGGCTAATTTATAGTGCTTTGTTTACTTTAAGATTCTTGCCAGTGTGACCTTTTTCTTTGAAGGCAAAATGCATTGACAAAAATGGGCTAAAATCTGGATCTTCTTAAGCATCACTGAGGCTTTGTATGTAAATGATCGTTTACATTCAACGTTTTTTTGTCCAACTATGTTTAAAATGTACTTTTGCAGTGGAAATCTTCAGTATTAAGACATAGACATTAAATATTTAGGTATTAATTACCCCAATATCTACACCAATGGCTTACTTTTGATTAAAATCCTATCAATAACTTCTCCCTGCTAAAGCTGGAATTCAATCCTTTCCTTCTTAATAACAGACAAACAGAAGAACAACCCGATTGGATATCACCATTCTCCCTTCTGCAATAGAGAGCCCATTCGTGGCGCGTGGATGTTTACGCCACTGCCAACGTCTACTAAATGCTCATTAATTTCATCCCTTCGTGGCAAAATCATTTCAAGGAGAGGCAATTCAGCCTCCTGTTCCTTTCAATTCAGTGCTCACGTCAATCAAGCCCTCCTGCAGGATCCTGCAGAATGGAGGTGTTATATTGCTGCAATTATCATGTCATATACTCGAAAATGTAAATGAACGTGTGTGTAAAATTAAATTTATGGGTTGTCAGTGAAGAATAAGAACCAGGAGAGCAATTACTTATCTGCTTTCATCTTGGAGCCTCTGATACGTCAAGCAGAAAAGCATGCAGTTAAATGCTGGAATTAGCATTGTGCTGCTCTTCACAGTAGATGTGGGCCAGTGCCTTCCCCCCTTCTCTTTTCTCTTTCTGCCGTTTCCTTTTTTTTTGGGGGGTGATTATCACCCATTACATATAAAAGTTAATGACAGCGTAAAAAGACCCTCCATATTTCATAAACTTCTTGTTTTTTTTTGTTTTTTTTTAACAATATTCCGTTACTTCATTTTGCACCTCTTGTTTGAGGTCTTGTTTTATTCAGTGCTGATGACATCCGGCATTATTCACCCACAAATACCTGACTTTGAGTGCCCATATTTCACCACCCACACAATGCAGAAACTGTTTGAAGCTCCATGTACAATTTATATTTAATTCCACTTTACATATGTATGCGCATACATTTGTGATAAACCCTGCACGGGTACGCCTGCATCTATTTTTTTTTTTTTTGTGCCCAAACATCTTTGAGCCTGCACCCAATTAATAGCCTTAATGAGTGCATCTCTGCTGTTGTTTTCCCGCCACACTCGTCCTATTGCAATGGCATCTAACACAAAACCAGGAGTGACTGCAGGGGTAATTACTTACCTAGCAAATGTACCTTTAAGGGTTAATAACACTGAAGGTGTAAGCACAGCATTTGCATAATTACACAGGGGCTGTTTAATTTGCAACTTTTGACAGCTTTTGTTCAACGACTCGCTTATTGTGAATGCAATTTCCCCTGTCCCCTTGCAAGCATGGAGTCCAAAGAAGAAAAGAGATGTACCACAAACAGCCACCACCTCCTCCTCCATCTCTCCTACCTTAGATGGAGTCCCTTCTCTCTAAGACCCTAATGAACAATGGAGGCAGGATTTGTTTGAATATGAATATGAATGTGCAGCGGGGCCGGCTGGAAGTTGACCTTCAGCTGTGATTTTCAGTTCATCAGGATTAGTCAAGGCGGGCGATCAGGAGCCACTAATGCATAATGACTTCTAAAATGAAAAATGTGTAGTGACCATGCAAATGTCTCGGCTAATCAAAGAGGGGGGAGAAACCTGGGGTGGTGGTGGCTGAGGGGGGTGGGCATCGAGAAGAGGAGAACTAAACAAGGACGTGTCAAGGCCTGACAGAGAGAGGGAGAGGAGCAGAGAGAAGGAGGGAGGAAGGAGAGACATGCATGGAAAGTAATCAAGCCAGCTTGATTAGCTGGCAATGAGGACAGGGATGTCTTATTGCCCCCTTGACACTCCATATAGGGTAGCTACTGTCATGGCAGCTCCATGGCAAACACTGTTGCAATTAGAATCAGTAAAGGTGTTACTCTGTGTTGATGTTTTAACAGTTTTTTCTTCTTTGTTGATTCCAAACACCTGCTGACAAAATTGATTTCAATCTATGCTGATGACAGTTTATTTTTAAAGTTCATGCAGAGGGAATGTATTGCACCCCACTTTTCGGTGCACTAGTCAAGTTTTATGTATCAAACCAGGGTGCCGGTTTAATACTAAATCATTAATTGGTTTTTACTCTCAGAAAAGTAAACAGTGAAATCTTCTTTTCTTAGAACATTAATTTTTTAAAGCGGCCATGAGGAGCTAAAACTCCAAAATAAGACTGTTAGGTTCCACTCCCCTGTTGGTGTGCGCACACGCAATCAAAGACAGCAGCAAAATATATTGTTTTCCTATTGATCTTTTGCCTCAGAAGTTGGGAGCTGTGGTGCCTGAGAAGAATTTGGAAAAATAAAGCATGTTGTATGTGGTTTTTTTTTTTTTTGGCTTCTTCACAGCTTAACAACTAGAAATGGTGCAATTCTTTTATGATCGACTTGCCACAGAGTCAAAAAAAAACTTAAATGTATGCTTACTTGACCATTTTTTCTCTTTATTTTGAATAATTAAAGGTGAACACAATATTTGCTGCTGCGGCTCACACCTTGGCAATGTGTCCAACCCATCAGTTCAATTTTGATCAAATTTAGAGTTATGCATTTTTATGTTGTTCAACAGTAGAAGCAATGATAGGCACGCTAAAGTAGGTGAGTTCAAGGGTCCTGCTAATTAAGGTCTATATCTATTTAAATCCCTCAGCTTTTCCCAGTAGAATAAAGGCAGAAAAATAAGATGAGCAACACAAAGACATAGCACCCATGTGTCCTTCAGCATGTCCTCTAGGCTTGCAAACGTCACAGCCTTCTCTTCCTACCTTTTATACCACAAGTTAACTCATTCCCAGTAGATCCACATTTCTATGATTCATTTTTCTAACGCTCTATTTTCTAAACTTTTTTTCCAATCTTTCTCATCTCCCTACCCATTCCCCCCGCTCTCCCATTGTTTGCCATTCTCTCCACTTTCCATTTTCACATTTATTGCATCTTGTTTGTCTTGCCCCTCTCCGTGCCTCCTTTCTCGCCCTGACTCTCTTTCCATCATTTCATTACATATCATCCATGTCCAGGTTCCAGTGTCAGTGGCCATGATGAGTCCCCAAGTGATCACGCCACAACAGATGCAGCAGATCCTCCAGCAGCAGGTTCTCTCCCCACAGCAGCTCCAGGCTTTGCTCCAGCAGCAGCAGGCAGTGATGCTGCAGCAGGTACACACACACACACACACACACACATGCACAAAGAAAACAATAAAACACTAAAACAAAAACAAACTTAATGACACAAACCCCCCAGAGATTGCAGGAAAGGCAGAACTTGCATTTAAGCATACATTTGTGCAATTTAATTCAGTTTATCTAAATTGAGAACATTTATAATTATAATAATAATTTTATATTTCTATCAAGGCACTTGATATTCTGTTATCTAGAAGTTAGTATGTTCTAAATATTCTTAGTATCATCTTATAATAATCAATAGTTATGGAAATGCTCTCTTTTTTTGGAGCAAAGTTTAACTGCGTCCAGCTCAGGGTGAAGATGTCAAGGGCATAAAATTAATTCTTACCAAGGAGTACTTTCTACAACAAAGCTACTGTACTGCCATAGTGCTGTAAAACAGCTGAATATTCTATAAAAAAAATTGTAACACCATAACCCTAACCCTATATTCGCACTATAGCACAAAGGCTTTATCTAGAAAAGAGAGACAACCCAAACAGCGACAAAGATACTTTCAATTGGAAAGGGAAGCAGAGAGGTGTCACCTGCAGCTTTGTTAGTGTCTCCAATACAGGAAATGTACTTTCTGGGATAAAGAAAAACAAACAAAGACTACAGCAAGTTGTATTGAGAAAACCCTGCAGCTCTGAATGAGGAGTACTTTGTTTCGGAAAAAGAAAAGCAGGACACACACTTAATGGGAGTAAAACTCCGTTAATGACTCAATCCAAGAAAAACAGAGCGAAATAGTCACTGGTCTCTGCATACATTCTATGAAGGGAAAAGCACAGAGAGAGCCCGGTTAATCACTGCAGTTAGTGCATACTGTACATGATGTAATGAAGTAATGCTTGTTAGTAAAGTTTAATGTTAGCCTTAGGAATACCAAAGACACCCTAACTAGCCCTATATTAGGGTCTTGACTAAAAGTTCACAGAGATGATCTCACTCACAGAAAAAGAGGAGTTTGCTCCCTTAAAGCTGCTTTTATAGCTCAAGAAAGTCTAAGCCACATAGAGAGCTGCATTAATATATACAAATCAGTGCAACACGTGTGTAACTCTTACATCTTGTCATTTTTTTCACATCTCGATTATAATTCTTAAGCCTTTTCATGAGGAATGGGTCAACACACCTTCTTGAGTCATTCCTGCCGACACTTGCTTTTGCTAACTCACCACGGTGTCCTTGACACGCTTACCAAAAAGAATTCTAAATTGATGTACATGTACATGTCACCTCTAATTAACCGTCTGTGGCTGTGTCGCTGGTTCAATTCCCTGACAAGCTTCCATCAGGGACTCTGAGAGTAGGGCTGAGCGCAGTAAACTGACTGATAGGTGATGGATGATGTAATATTTGAAATCAACTTGAGGAAGCAGGCACTTGGTACAGCGCCTTTACAGAGTTGAAACGCGTTTCTAATTCATAGACTTGATTAAGGGAAAGAGAATGCTTTAATTAAGAATGTCAGTCATTCTGATTGTCCTTCTTTAATAACTGTGTTGCTACTAGAGGCTTGGTTTTAGGATATTTGTGTGCCACTCAACTTCTATGATGTACTTCTGGTTCATATAATATTTTTCTCAATATTTTAGGCTCTGGTATTAGGACAGGCCTATATAGTAGAGTTGTTTCTGACCCTTATCCGGTGTCAGCATTCCTAGATCGACTCTATATCTTTGAACACAGTTATGTTGTGAAGTCAATTTGCTATATAAACTCCAACAAAAACTCCTACATACTCTAAGTGAATTGCTCCTTAAGATCCAGTGTCAATTGCAGTTGTCTCCTAAATCAGACTTAAGCTCTGAAATACATATTGAATGCTTGCATTGAAATCGTCCTCTAAAAACATAACAGTGATATTTTGCAACAAAATACAAAATAGGAAACTGCCATTATAGTATGTTTGTTCAAATGAAAAAAGATTTTTCTTGCATCATATAATAGATTTTTATGTAATACAGTTCTGTTTAAACAATGGGTTGATAAGCGTTAGATATAAGTTACCTAAAAAAAAATTGATGGGAAAAAAAAAAAACCGATAACTGACCATCTACTGGACGGGGCTGAACAATTTTAAACATGTATGAAATTGGTCAACAGCTGAATTCTTTATGCCTCTTTTGATCATTCAAAAATGAAAAGTTGAACAAAAAATATTCATTGCATCATCTCTGTGTCTTTTGTTCTCTCTGTGAACGCTTATTTCTACAGCAACACCTGCAGGAGTTTTATAAGAAACAGCAGGAACAGCTTCATCTGCAGCTTCTCCAGCAACAGCATCCCGGCAAGCAGGCTAAAGAGGTAGATGCAACATCACGCATGATATCCATGCACAAAGATTTAAAGACATGTAGAAGCTATAAAGATAAACACACATAGGGAAACAAGAATATTTCTAATTCTTACAGATGGAGTCTTACACTTTAATTGTGTATTTAAAAACGAAACCAGAATCTATACTTTTCATTCAATTTCAGGGAAACTGTTTAATTCATAATAGTTTAATTATATTGCTACTATATAGCTAACTGGCTAAATTCATAGGGTCCTGCACCCAGTCTGTTAATGAACTTTTTCTACAGCAATATAAACAACTCAGTGGCACCAAAGTTAACATGTTGGGCTCTCATAAATCTTAATGACAAGCAGCTGGTTGACAGCTATGGCTCTGTCTCATTCCTCTTGTCTGTGAAAACAGAAGACAAGCGAGACACCAAAAGCGCATTTGCTTGAGACTGTTGATGCTGAACCTTGTGGGTCAGTGCAGGGCCACCTCCAGACAACACCTGAAGCATTTAAATTGATAAGAAAGAAAGAGGGTGTCGCATAAACACACACAGACCCCCTTTCTTTTTCATTTCCTCTGTGATGCACCTCACAGTGTCTTCAACCAACCCATTATGCTGCCCCCAACAGGAAGTCACAACTGACCTCCCGACGGCTTTGTTTCTGTTTGGATTTGTGAATAGAGTTTTGCAGGGGCCTTGCCGTCAAATATGGAATAGAAATTGCTCCTTTATTTCTCTTGAGGCATCTTGGAAGGTTGCAAGGTGAGGGAGCAAACTGTCTCTCTCTATCAGTCCATTATGCAGCCTGTTTTCCAGTGAGTGCATCTCAAGTTTTGCCACTCCTATACACTATTCAGCCAGGCATCTGAATATTCCACAATTGCAAACTCACAAGTATATGTGCATTCACCTTATTTGACAAAGAGAGCAGTAGTGAGAGAAACTACTAGGCCTCTAGTGACTCTGCAGGAGCTGCAGTAATGTCAGATTGGCTAATTTCTTGACACAACATGCATGCTATCCAAATAGCATTTATGGAAGAATGGCAGAAAGATAGCAACTGTTAAAAGAAAACTATAGTATAATATATTCTTTTTTGCTGCCTCTTTCACAAGCTATCTATCAGACACAGGCAGATGTGTTCTGATCAGCTGGCACCAAAATTGATCTTCTTGGTGTATGTACAATGTTAATGGAGGACAGTTAACGCTGCAGGTAGCCCTTAATTCTCCATTCCCACTGTGAAATATGGTGGTGGCAACATTATGTTTTCAATATGTTTCTATTAGAGTTTCAGTTTTGATTTCTTTGAGAAAATATTTGATTCCCAGGCACCTTTCTTTTAGTACCTTTCTTTTCTGCACCCATTTTTTTTTATTTGGTCCTTCACTAGAAATAAAAGATTTTGTGCTTTAACGGGACAGTGTTGAAAATGTTTGTTTGGGTTTGAATATTTTTGCTAACAGATTTCCAGTTTGACATTTTCAATCTTGTTGTATTGGTTGTTTAGCTCATCAATAAATAGTCTAGTAAGGTGAGTGGAGTGGGAAGGGAGGTGGGGTGAGGAGCTACCTGTGTGTTTGGGTCTTTGCATTCAAATGCACATGGAGTCATAAACCTCTCACTCTGTCTGCTCCCTCCGGTCAAATAAGCTGTAACAGAGCTTCAAGAAAGACGAGACAATTAACTATCAGGGATGGTGGGGGAAGGATTATACCAGAGGCTTAGTATCATACACAATCAGAAACATACCCTGACAGTCTCACTTCTGTTAGGAGATAGCAGCATTTTGGTACAGCCCGAAAATCAGGAGGGAAGACTCAATGCGAGCAGACAGAGAGCTAGAACCTGCAGTGGAAGAAGCAAGGAGGGGAAGCTAAGGTCACTGAAAAGGCGAGGGAGATTTCTCCGAATGCTCACACACATCACAGACGGCGAGCCAACATCTTCTGCTCTCTCAGCTGTTAATTCCACTGTAATTTTCTCTCCCTCCTCTTCTCCATGCTCCCCTCTTGCTCCTCGTCCTCTTCCTCCTCCTCTCTATAGCAACAGCAGCAGCAGCAGCAGCAGCAGCAGCTGGCCGCCCAGCAGCTCGTCTTCCAGCAACAGCTCCTGCAGATGCAGCAGCTTCAGCAGCAGCAGCACCTGCTCAACATGCAGCGGCAGGGCCTGCTTTCACTGCCCGGGCCCGCTCCAGGTCAGGCCGCCCTGCCCGGACAGACCCTGCCCCCAACAGGTAAGTAGTTGTGTTGATATGGAGCACATGACTTCCTGTTATTTGTTTGCAGGTATAAGTGATATTTTCCTTTTATGTCTCTCTATCTTGTCTTAGTTTTTCTAATTGGTATGCGCATGTAATCCTATTGCGTTTTCTTTAAGTGTCTGTCTGCCTCCCTCTCATTGCTATGCTCCCCCACCGACCAATTTGTCCTGAACTCTGCACATGAATGTTTAGTTTCTTCCTTCTTGTCTTCATTGCCCTGTTTGTCTACCTCTGCCTCTCTCTCTTTGCTCTGCAAGTATTTGTGTTCGGTTTTTTTTCCATCTTTGCTTCTATCCCTCCACTCCCCCTTCCTTCAGTGCTTGTTGTTGTTGTTTACTGCCTTCATTGAGACGAATAAAAGCACAAACACAGGGGGAGAGTAGAGAACAGACTCCATTTCCTTCTCTGTTTCAAGTAAACACTCCTGTTTGTTGTTTACAACTAAAATGGCGGAGATTGAAAACAACAGACAGGGAGGTTTTTGACTAGATCAGAGAAGTAAATATTGTATAATGAGTTTCCACACTAAAATAGAAAACCTTGTTTACCTGAAGGTGGAACAGACAAGAATTCAATGTTGTTTTTATGCACCAGCGAGCCGTTTTCCAGTTAAAGTCAATGTCTGACTTAGCAAAGAATTTAAGTATGTAGTGAATAGACTGATTGAAGCCTTTTAGCTGCAAATTCAACATTATATGACTGTTTAAAATATTTTAAGGTTTTAAAACACAGTTTAGGTAGCCCTGGAATATAACATCTACCTTCTCATTGATGTCTACAGGTGGTTTAAGCCCAGCGGAGCTCCAGCAGCTATGGAAAGATGTGACCGGAGGTGGTGGTGGTGGTCACACCATGGAGGACAATGGCATCAAACACAACAGCAGTGGCGGCATTGGTGGCGCCAACACTGGGACCGGAGTGGTCAGCAGCGGGTTAGACCTCTCCACCAACAACTCCACTTCAACTACCTCCTCCAACCCTGCCAAAGCATCGCCGCCCATCTCGCATCAGTCCCTCACCAATGGACAGTCGCCCATCCTCAACCACAGACGAGAGCGGGAAAGAGAGCGCGAGAGGTAGAGAAAACACCATGAGGCAGCCATTTAGAGATTACACCACACGCCGCTTGATGTTGTCGAAAACAACAATGTTTTGTTTATTTATTCAATAGATTATTTGTAACTTAGTGATATTCAAGCAAAAAAAACAAGAGCTAAAACAACATTGTGCTCCCATGGGAGCCTGTAAACAAACTTAGCTTGCACACTTATCAAACGCAGGGTGTAGAAGCCATACAGGCAGGCACACTTACACTTGCAACAAACCTCTTTGGCAGACAAGACAAGGTAACCCGCTTGTACGTTAAGTATTTAGTGCTTTGTCTCTTTTTTTTTTCCTCTTTTGAAAATTACCTTCCTTGCTTGCTTGTCATGTAAACAGAATATGTGATGCCTTGAGTGGCGTTTCTAGGATGTTTATTCTTGTGATGGCGTCTTTTATAAATGCACCAAGCAACGAAACACTGGCTGTTCACATATCTGCCTATCCGGGCCATGCATTATTCAAAGGCTTTTCTTGGGCGATATTATAATAAGGACTAAGGATAGAGATGTGTGCGTGTGTGTCTGTGTTTAGAGACTTGCAATAGAGGTGGAAGTGCTGTGTAATTGGTTTAAAGTAGATGCTATCTCTGCAGTCCCACTAAAAGTAGGCTTGGAGAGAAAAAAAAAAGACATAGAAGAAGAGAGGGAAACTAAATGAGAAGACAAGGAAGAAAAGAAAACATCTGTTTGTGTCCCCGAGGGGTGTGTGGTGCCTCGCAATGATCGAACAAGGAGTATTGTCAGGAGCTCTGCTTACTAACACGCTGCGGATCGATGTGGGGGAAGCCCCTCTGTAAAAACGCTGTGTGAGATCTGCCAAGGCTTCGACCACACACATCCTCAGGCATAACCTATCCACATACCCTCACACACATTTCCATGAGCACACTTACACACCAGTGCCAAGCCTAAAGGTTAAACTGTCATCTTTAATAGGATGTGCTGTCTAGGCAGGGTCGTAACTTATTTGGGTGCCATTTGAAAACGCCAGAACACCCTTGTCCTCAAAGAACATAAGTTACACACTGTATTAATCTCCTGATGAGAATTATATGGCTGTCTGGATTTTTAATGTTTACTTGAAAGCCAGTGCCTATTCCTCTCAGATAATGGATTTACAACATGGAGTTGTGGCTGCAGTTCCGACTCATTCTGGATTTTCATGAGAGGTTATTTACACATTAGTCACAACTGTCAGATGTCCCTTGTTCCCAAACTTTTAATTTCTATATTTCTGTTTTCTTTGCCCTACCTTTTTCTCCTTCTTGGATAATAAATATCCAGGCAAACAATGTGACTTCTTATGTCCATTTTGAATCTTCTCTTCTGTTTGATCCTCCTCCAGCTCACTTCATGAAGAAGGCGGACGAACCCACCCTCTATACGGTCATGGTGTGTGCAAGTGGCCTGGCTGTGAGAACATGTGTGAGGACTTTGGACAGTTTCTGAAGTAAGAACATTTTCTCATGTGATGTGGTGTTGTTTCCATGAGCTCTCATATCTCTCAATTGCAGTGCTTAGCAGCAGTTGGCATTCATATACATTACCTCACTACCACATGACAGAAAAAAAACCTTTATATATTTGATTGGATTTCATTTTGTAGTAGCACGTAACATGCTCTGTTTTGGTAAGACCATCATTGAATGTTACCAAAACTGAACCATTTGAAGTATAGTAGTGGCAGCATCATGCTGTGGGGATTATTTATTTTTTTTCTTCAGCAGGGTTGTGTTGTGTTAGCTGGTGTGAGTTGAAACGAGAACAAACTAAAACTCACTGGAGGCATTTTAGAGATGTGTAGGCATTTTGGAACTAGAAAAAGATAGGGTTTTATTTATTTACATATTTATTTCTGTTAAAGTCCTTGCCCTGTTCAGCCAAGCTTAAATGATGACTCAAGTTTACTTTTGAGTAAAAGTTGTCTATTGAATTACATGTAAGGTAATGGTAGATATTACGGCGAAAAGCTTGACAAATACAAGACAAACACATATTTCCTGTGGAAACCTCTTCCTAAAAGTTAGAGGCTCCATATACACCTAAGGTCTATGCTGGCAGGTCTTTTTTATACTAGGGGCCACATAAAATCATCAAGGGCCTGACTTTAGACACCCCTGATCAGTCCCAATGAAATGCTTCAAATGTCCTGGTTGTATTGTGACAAAATAACAAAAAAGGTTTAGAGTTCTTGAGTTCCTGAGTTCTTTCCCAACCCTGTTCATGTTGCCATGTTTTATTTTTAGTAAGACACATCAAAGCAATCCCTTTTGTCCCTCCTTTCTTGGTGGCCTTACTCGGAAACCCTTCCTGTCTTTTTACAGGGCACATTCTGACCTCTAGACAGCTAGTTGACAGGGTTCTGCTCCTGCAAAGCATGACTCAAACCAACTCTGATCCATAACAAATTTCCTCCGCAGCGTGGAGGGACCTGATAGGTTTGTGAAAAAGCGTCAAAAGCTAATGGCAACTCGCACGGCCACACACTTGCCTCCACAACAAAGGGCCCCCATTCACTGTTGTCATGGTGCAGGCGCCGGAGCAAATGAACTCTTCATGCTCCATCAACAATTTAGTTAATTAGCTCATTTGTAATTGGCCGGCTTTGTTGCCAGGATGTTAGTGGGGGGACATCAAAGGAAGAAGGTGTTTGCAGCGCTGCCGATTACAGGTTATCACATTGCCACTCACCGAGAGCCGCTCTCCCTCCCTGTATCCCTGACTCGTCGCTCTCACACAGAGAAGAAAAGAAAGGGAAAGCTTTAATTTGAATATTCTAATTAGATTTGTAATTAACTGTGAAATAACGATCTGGTGAGTGTTTTTCATGGGCTGTAAATGTCCATGTGAATTCTCATAAACTCCCCAAATCAGGACAATGTATCCACTTATTTTCCCAGTCATGCAATTCTCTGCAGTATTGAGTGTAATAAAGTGCAGAAAGCTAGGAGACGTACTCATAGAAAAAAAAAAGAAAAAAGTAGAATGTAGGATTTGGGTCAAGCATTTACTAATTCTACAGCATCTTGTGAATTACAGCTCGGAGGAGTATCTGTGGATTGATATTATTCCAATAAACAGTGTTTTCAAGTCTTTTCAAAGAGACTTCGAGGCAGTAGATTAGGCCTCGTTTTCACACGCTGTCAAGGCAAATAAAGTTTAAAGGGCTGTAATTGACTGCATTGTTTTTGAACAAAATGGGCATGAATAGATATTATAGCTGCTGTGTAAGAAGTGTTTGGTTATATTCTCTGGGATATGTGTGTTATAAATGTCAGAACCGGTAGCTGTTTTTTTTTTTTTTTTTTTGCATTTAGTGACGTTAAAGACACTGTTTGATCTTATGTGACAGAATTAGACTACAACAAGGTACTAGGTAGTTGTAGGGTGGCATTGAATTTATGCATTTGTAAAGATTTCACAGACAAATATTTAGAACTGCAGATCTGGGAAGTTTTATTGTGTTCAAATGGATTTCTACAAACTAGTGCTGCTGCTGGTTGCTGCACCAGTTTTTATTTTGTTTCGTATTTGGCTTTGTTTTTCTTGGTGGAAAGAATCCTTTACCACATGTCAACCAAAGCATAATGCTTCCACCACCATGTTTCAGATGCAATGATTTCCACTGCAGAGTTTGGCAGAAATGTTACATTTTTGTGCCACATCGGAGGAGAACTCCTTCAACCTCAAATTTCTCAATGCAACCCGCAGAGTTGGTTTTCTTGCTACTTTCCTTCAGAGAATTGCTCTCTTCTTACAAGGTTTCCATAAATACCACATTTGTGGAGTATGCTTCTAGTAGCTGTTCTGTTTTCAAATTCTCCCACCTGAGTCAGAATTACCTTCTCCTTCCCTGACTTGTTAATTAAGGAGAACATCCTTGCGTTGGTAGACTTAATGTTGCTTTTCTTGGATTTTATTTAGAGGTAACATAGGATGAATACCTTATATATTTGTTTTTCATTAACCTCAACGGGCTGCAATAAATGACACACATCAAAACCTGAACAAAATCAAATATTTTTTATGGTTAGAATCTGATAAAATGTTAAATGATATCTATATAATGAAAGTGGTAAAAGTTATTTAGAATGTGATGCACAGTTCAAGACTACACATCCTGTAGTTCTGGTAGAACGGTTTGCCTTGAAGCTTTGGGGAAAGATGTACCTGTGATTCTGCAAGACAGTGAAGGATTAGCAGGTTTTCTGATATCATATCCAATCATCTAAGCGCACTCACTAAATAGAAAGCTTCACTCTATCTTTTGGCAATGTATGCTCTGTTCACACGCAAACACACGCTAGTCTGTGTGCTTTAAGGATACCCTGTGTAGGTAGCTTAGTTGGTCACTTTATCCATGACTAGAGATGCACAGTGTAAAAGATGCATGTTTTTGCTGGATACAGTAAGCTGATAAGCTTCAATGAAACAACACATGCTTGTGAAGTCAAACCAGAGGAGCCAGGAAGACAAGCGGAGAGAAAACACTGATTTCAAAGTAAAAACAGGTGAGCAGATCGACAGACAGTTTTGTAAGAATATTTTGCAGAACATTGCCTGTTACAGAATCGCAACACTTGGCTGAGTCGCATACACAAACCATGCTATAACCCAGCGAGCGCAAGAAAACAGAAGGCAACAAAGAAGGCAGGCTTGTCATTAGAACAAAGATGGCGGCTCGGTGCCATGCCTTGGAGCAGTCATTGTAGATGTCAGAGGGAGTCCTTTTATGTTTCCAGAGATGCCATTTGACACACACACACACACACTGATCTGCACGCACACACACACACAGGCACAGTTTAAACGGGGGTTACATAAAGCGGATGTCAGATTTAGATGACAGCTAAGACGTTGGTACTTTAGTGGAAGGTGCGGGGGGGTTCGTTTGTTGGGAAGGGGTTGGGGACAGACCCAAGTTGTCGCTCGCTGCAGGAGCTCAGCTCAGCAGCAGTGACACCTTTAGTCATCTATTGTTTTGTTGCATGAAGAAACTTGTCAAGATCAGTATTTAACGGCTCCACGGTGCACTTTAAAGTGTCTCACCTGCAAAAGGTAGCCGCGAGGTAGCATGGCACCCCGAATTAGCTCTGTGAAGTTCAAAATGAAATAATATCCATGGGAATGTTTCTTGAGCGACTGGGTTTTTTTTTGGTTTGTGGTTCTATTTGTGTTAATATACGACAAAGAGGGCTGAGACACATGAAGGCGTTAAGGCTATGTGCAAGACTTGTGTTTGTGAGCAGCCTTTGGTAAAAATAAAAGGACACAAATGGAGTTGAAAAGATCAGCATAATAAATGTGAAACTGATCGAAAAGGATACATGGTGTTCTGATGTTACCTTAAAAATAACATTCGGTCCAGCCTCAAATTCTTTGTGGTTTTTAGCTACGTCCATCTTATTTTTCAGAGTTATACAGGAAAGAAATGTTTATTACATTGATTGAGGCCTCAATGGAATGAATCTTGGCAAAATTAATTGTTTCCTAGAGTTTAAAGGTCACATATTATCCAATGAAATAGCTATGACCATTTGAACCTAATAGCAATTGTATTATCACATGAGCTACCAATGATATCGTCATTGTATACATTTTTCTAATAGCATCTATCTCTAGTTCTGTGATACGATTTGATAAAATACAAGACAATAAAATTATACATCACTGTATTTGAAAGGGAAAGTTCTTTCCTTAAAAGAAGGAAAAATCACCTCCCACCACTCTCCAATGTTCTGTCACCGTTCTGCTCTCCTTATTAGTGGCACTGAGGCAGGCTCTGTGTTAAAATGGCAAGCTCAGCCACTAACCTGAACGCTGGTGTCTGTAACCCGCTACTAATTAAACCCACAAGGCTGTAACCAAATGTCTCTGTCTTTATATAATGTACACATATGCACATTGTCGAGACAGGCATTTACTTAAGCAGGTCCCCAGCCCTTCATGGTGAAGCCATGCTCCACCCTACGAGGACCTTTAAAAGACAGGGCACCATCGCCAAATGGTGACAGTGTCCACAAAAGACACTGTGTGTAAACAGGCAGTGTTTTAATGCATTCATTAAAAAGTATGCTACTGAATTGCTTTTAGTGTGTCATGTACGCACAGTTAGGGGCAGAGTTTTCTCTGATGGGCCTTCATAGCCCCTGATAATACACACAGACAATTAGCAGAAGTGTACACTGTATATACGCTGGCTTGAGTAGATTTATTATTGGGCCCTAGGTGGACGTTGATGGCCTATACATATTCATGTTTGTAGCTACGGGGTAAAACCCTTCGAGATCTTTAAGACAAGCTGCATGTTCTAATATTGCAGGAAGTCTTACTTGGGGTTTAACAACAAAGGTTGTGGCCACATCTTCCAGTCTACATCATATTTCCCAATTGCCCATCATCCACAAAAAAAAATGTGTTTAAAAAAAGAAAAAAAAACCGTTTTAAAAAAAAAAAAAAAAGCTGAGTGCTTTCCTATTTCAGCCTGTTTTATATTTGCCATGACCCAGATGACTGCGAATTTACACAGGCATGTTTTTTTTTTTTTTCGTGTTTTTTTTCCTTTACCTATTAATTTATAGCTCATGTGAATCAATATTCTGTTTATTTAAGAGTATTTGAGTCAGGAGGGCTGAATATAAATGCAAACAACACTATTCCAAGTCTTTTTTTTTTTGTTTTTTTACTGTCATCTTATGGTGTTTGATGTTTTTTTTACGACTTTTTTTCCTCTAAGAAAGGCACATTTTAAAATGATTTATTTAAGGTTATCAGAGTGAAAGTTTATTCTACATTCTTTACTGAAATTAAAGGGTGTCTGTCTAATCTACGTATCTTTTTACTGTCATAGTGAACATTTTTTTCTTGTTAATTGAAAGCAATCAGGAAAAGTTTTACCCAAAGTCACCAGAGTCATGCTGGCTGAGAGTAAATGTACATCACACTTTTTTGAAAGCTATATATCATTTTCATCCCACTATAAAATCACACCTGATGTGTTGTTACACATAAAAAAAAACGTAAATAGATTGAACATTTAGTTGAAAAACTGGGGATTAAGATTATATTTGCTGTTTAGACAGGTTAGAAACATAAAACAGTCTCTTTACTCCTCATTTCACTACCTAGGATTTTCTTTTGTCATTTTTTTATATGTTCTGGGTGCCAGCCCACCCCCTTCTCCTCCATTTCTGTCTTTGTTTGGCATTATTAATGCTCAGCAGAACATGCACCATTTGAATATTTTATAAATGCACGTAGTAATCTTCCTGTAATCGCCTTGCTAACTGGCCAGCAGTGAAATTGAATGTATGAAGCTCTAACTGTCTGCAGGACCGCCGTGAGGCCTCACACACAAACACATGCACGCTTAACTCAACGTAGCTGCTTGTCGATGAGACGTGGGCTCGATAAAGATTTTGCACATCTTTTCCTTTTTTTTGCTCTTGTTTTGTAATGAGGTATCTTCAGGGACAGCGAGCAGCCATCTCTGTGCTTTTGAAGCAGCTGTAATTCATGACACACACCATACATCAAGTGCATAAGATAGCATTATGGGCAGTGAAATGAAAAGGGTATTTGCAACATTAGTTCCCTCATCCTGCGAGGGACGTGATTAAATGATTAATGAAATGCCCCCCTTTTTTTTTGCATGCGTGTTCTGAAACAGCAATTAGGCACAGGGCTGTGGAAATCAACCAGCGCTGTCCCTCATGCATTTCTCTCCCCACCTCTCCCTGTTTTTCTTCTTTTTTTTATACTACCTCATTCTTGATTTATAATAAAACCTTTCAGAGCATTAGACCTGAAATGGCTTGGAAAGCAAAGGTAGGGATGAGATGAAACGCTTCAAAATGTGTTCAGTCTTAATTGAAAGGTACAGGACTATTGTGATTACGAATGTTCTGCTCAGCTTCTGATTGACAGGCCAAGAGAAAGCAGCTCAATGAGTTGTCTTGTTTTGTGCTTTGCAGATAAACAGGACGCGAATAGGGGGCGTGCAGTGAAAAATATGTGGTGGAAGTGTGTGTTGGTGATAATGTAAGCAAGTGTGTGTTCTCAGATAAAGTGAAAGCCACAGAGGAAGAGATTTTGTACTGTCTCTAATGCACTGGAGGCTGTGCTGTAAATGATCATTGAAGGGTCTGCAAGCTAACCTATAATTACTGCAGATAAAGTGGCAGCTCTGGCATTTCATAAGCATGTCTCCTCAAAGCTTTCTTTGTGAGTTTGTCTCCAATGATCATTTAGATAGAGGCTCATTACCCAGCATCACAACACTTTAGGAACCCTTTTTCAACCACATATTTGTGCTACTGCGTATGTGTGTCTGGAATAAAGGTCTATCTTAATGGTTGAGCTTTTTGTGTCCTACAGATGAAATCCAATCGAGACAAAAACCTTCATTGACTGTTATGGCTGTCTGGCTGCCCTTTTTCTTTCTAATGAGGCGAACATACCAGATATACTTAATATGTCTGTGGCAAGATAATGCACCTTCAAGTTAAGAGCCACCTTTGTGTGTCAAATGTTGCTGGTGTTAAATTGTGTGTATTGTTTTCAATAAATTAGGGAGACAAAGCCATTCTGCTGGGCCCGCACGTTTTATTCTTAGAAGAAAGCAGCGCTCAGGGTGGCGCTGACACCTCCTCCACCACCACCATCATCTAAACTGGCGCAGAACTATTGTCATGTTAAAGATGGTGCCTCACACCCTCATGTTCCTGCTAATTACTTTATTTCAGATGGGAACAATGGTTTCTAACTGGGATCTCATAGATAGTTGTCTGTGTATAGAAATTATCATAAAAACAAAAGTTGATACTGTAATTACTATCCATCACAATTTTCATCAAGGTAAACCAAGTCATGTAAGTTTTAACTCATGGTGCTTTCTAAAGCCGTTTTTCCACTGAAAAATACAGGTTTAAATGTGTTTTTTAAACATGGATCGACCCGCTAACAGTTTTCATTTGGTTCCCTTCCCACTGGCAAAACAAATGTGGGGTCTAACTTATAGCTGGCAAGCTGCATGGCCTCTGTCCCCCCATGGCTATGTGAAACCATCATGCTGAGTGAGCCCAGGTGATGTCACCATTGTTAAATCAGAAGTGGCTGGCGCGTTGTGTTGACGTTGGTACGTTGCATTCAGTTGCGTCACGTAACGGCTCTGGTGTTCCCACAGCATGCCGATCAGAGCCGAGACAATTTTACGCGGGACGTTTGCCGAGTTGTTTGACCCAGGTAGATACGGATCAGAGAGCTGTTCCCACTACCACTAAAAGCCAATTGTTCCCGGGTTTAAACAGGTTTTTCGGTAACACACAACTTTAACACACAAAATTAAAATAATCCAGAAAACAGTAACTGCAGAGGAGTAGTATATACACCAAACAGTGAATAAATGAATGGATAGAGTAATCAAGTAATTGGGAGCAGGTGTGAACAGGAATAGCTAGAAGGGAGCTAAAGTGAAAGGTGAGGGTCTCTTGGGGGCGACAGAGAGTAACCAGGGAATACAACATGGCTTAAGTATAACTTAAAAAGAACCTAAATAAATGCTAAAGAGGAATTAAACTGATGACTGGAAAATACAGAATAACCAAAGGAAAAACTAGAGGATAAGGAAAGGGCTGGAGATAACTTAAAATAACTATGATGCTATGGGAAACAAAACCTTAAGATAACTGTAACAATGAATGGCAAAATAAAACGAAGGCAAAGGCTAAAGGATTCTGAATAGAAAATAACTGAAAAAACATCAAAAAGAAACTAGGATGTAATTAAAAAATATATACTACATTGTCACAGCAAACACAGACCAACATAAGTCAACGCCTAACAAAAAACACAAAGTTAATGGTACCAAAAACCCTGAGCAGCAGATCATTGCATTATTATTATTATCAACATACAGTCTAACAAGGTTTAAAGCAATCTCAGCATTACTCTGTGAATGCCTTAGTGAATTTGTGAATAAAACAGCATTTTGAAGACTAGAGGACACATCAGACAGGTAAGGGGTAAAATTGCAGGGCAGCTTTGAAGCAATATTGGGATGCATAACAATATCCCTCTAAATCAAGTGTGATGAAAAAGTGAGAGTATTCATCACTTTAAATACACCATCTCAACGGTGAAGCTTGGTGGTGAAAGCAGTGTGCTATGGGGATACCTTTCTACAGCAGCAGTAGGGAAGATGGCGCTAAATGGACACTACTGAAAGAAAAGCTGCTCTAGGCTCAAAGAGATTTGACCAGCCAGGAGTTTGCCTTCCAACAGATCAGTGATCCCATAGCTACAATTAATTAATTTAGATTAAACCATAATTATGCATCAAAATAATACAATAATGAAATTTGTCTCTTTAAAAGTAATATCACTGTGAGATTAACATATGTATCTATTTGTCCTTCCAGGCACCTAAACAGTGAACACGCTCTCGATGACAGAAGCACAGCCCAGTGTAGAGTCCAGATGCAAGTCGTACAGCAGCTTGAAATACAAGTAAGTTTCTTTTTTAAGCAGAAAAGTGCCAAGACTACATCACAGCAAATAGTGTTTTCACCACTAGAATTTTTAGTCATGGCTTCAGCAGTCAAAAGTTTATTTAGTAAAACTTGCACAGGTAGGAGAAAGACCACATTGTGTTTTTTTTTTATACTTCCAGACAAGCAGGACCTGCTGAATTCAACAAAGCCGCTAAACAAAGGAATCCTCAGGCCTTACAACGAAAGCCATTATGGCTGTTTTAATTGAATTAAGCTCATGCTTTATTTTCTCCTCTGCTTCCGTTTTTTTTCCCTCCTTTTTCTTTCCAATTAATAGCAAGCACATCTCTCCCAGTCTGCTGTGTTAATTAACTGCACTTTGCACCTGAAGAAAGCTCAAAAGGAGGGAACTATTTTCAGTAGGTGGAGCGTGACCTTATTAAGAAGTCATGTTGGATAGATAATGAGAGCGCTGATTGAGTGACATTATTACTCAGCACTGCAGATGAGCGGCGCTCTGGCTTTTGAAACAAATAAAGAAGGAGGCGAACAAATGTTTTGGGACCCCTGGTAAAAATGTCCAATCAAAAAAAAAAAAAAAAAAAGGCCCAATAAAATCACTTTTTACTGCTGTACTAGAATCTTACACAAAAAAGAATTGAAGAAGAATTCCCTTTCATTTTTATTTGAATATTCTGATTCAATGTAAAACTTTGAATCCCAAATGTGCTTCAAGATCTTCAAAAATTTAATTGAGCACTTTGATTTCTGAATTTATATTTAATCAGAACTCTTAGAGGTTCTGAAGGAAATAACTTAGAATAACAGAAACAATGTACATTTCAGTTTCAAATATCTTTGTAAAATTCTACTGTCCCAATATGATTGCTTCTTGTTCTTTCTACACTCCCCTCTTTTCCTCCTTTTCCTTCAGTCCTGAGCTCCATCATCTCAGTTTCTTTCCAACACAAGACCCATCACTTGTAATGAGGCCCAGCTCTGTGTATGTCAGTGTTATTAAGGGGCGGTAGGGTTTCAGCCTTTCTCAAGGTCCAGTCCCTGTCACTCCACCTGAATTAGATTGATGATGAGCACCGGCTGGGGCCACTAACTGGACCAGGGAGGCGGGGCTGCCTGGCACCCCGTTTGGGAGACCCCTTCACCTCTCAGCAGCTGCTAGATGCACTGCATCCCCCTAACAGTGTCCACAGGACTTTGAGCAGACACTCAGGACCACCTAATTTATGGCCCAACCAGCTTGTTACTGTCAAAGCCTTCACTGACCTAAATTCGGATATTGACAAAAACATGAAAATGCTATTTGTTTTGCCTGACCTGTCTCTGTTCATCCTTTCCTTCCTCCGTCTTTCCTTTCCTCTTTAATCCACGCTAATGCACTCTCTCTTCTCCTTCTCTCTTAACAGCTTTCTAAAGAACGCGAGCGTCTTCAGGCAATGATGACCCACTTGCACATGCGGCCCTCAGAGCCAAAGTCATCTCCCAAACCAGTGAGTGCATATTGCTCTGCCTCCCGTAAACACGCTCGCCTCCGATGGCAGAAAATGAACAGTTTAAGCGTGCGACAGAAGATGAAAGGGAGGCGAATGGGATTTGTAATACACAGTTACATGTGCTCCTTATCACTTATTGTGGATTGTGAGAGGACAATAGAGTTTGGAAGTGTATTAGATGGCGGAGCGACGGAGTCCTCGGCTAAAACGGTGGGGGTCATTTCTTTGTGATAGCTATAATAGGCCAAAACAACCTGTTGGCTGCTGGTGATTGTTTGGCTCTGTGGCCGTAGAAGCGCTCAGAAGTGGAATGAGAGGGGAGAAGATGTGTCATTTTGACAACAAACAGCAGAAAATAACAGCTCAGTGGTAAAGACTGTGAGATGTTGACACGAAGCTAAAATTGACCACAGAGAAAATAAGAAAAAATGATTGCGGTCTGAATTTTGTTCTCTCTCTAAACTGATCGCTTATGAAAGGAACTCCTCTAGTGATATTTGAATTTCATATCCCAATTATGCATTTTGGAAAACATTACACCCCCCTCTTTGTAATTTAATGAAATTTTGAAATATTAGACATCAAAACATTGTTAACGAGGTTTTTTTCTGCTGCTTAGTAAGTGCCTTGTTTCAAAAGAATCATTTTCCCAATCACCTCTCATCATAGAAAGTAGATAATCACAAGATAGGATAATTATTCCATAATTCCACAAGAAATCAAACTCTCTTCATTATTCCCAGTCTCTCTCTATGTAGGCCCTATTTTACATCTTTAAAACTACAGCAGCTTGCCTCCATCTCATCAAATAAAGAATTTCCAGCCTATAATCCATGCCTGAATATGAATGAATGATGCTAATGAAGTATTGCATTACATAAAGCTCACATGAAAGAGCAGCTAATTGCATTTGATGGTGGGGGGTAATTCAGACAGAATTCCTAAACGAACAGTTAAGTCATTAGGATTTTTTTTTTCTCCTAAGACCTCCATAACTTTTTAAAATCTGACAAGATAAAGATTTGTTTTGGTGGGATTTGGGTAAGTTGGAAAAGATACCAGAAGCTTTTGCATAATATAAATGATCATGTGTCAATAGATAGAAATGTAGTGTATTCATATGGATTTCAGTGTACTTTAATTGGATATCATGATGCAGAGGCACTTATTTGGTAGTATAAATGGGAAGAAGAAGAAAAAGGTTTTAAAAAATGAGATAAGGAAAGCATTAATCAGAGAAGCAGCTGGGAAATTCATGGTTACTTTGGAGGAGCTGCATATATCCACAGCTAAGGGGTAAAATCTGTCTGAGAGGACAGTTGTATAAAATCCTTTATCAGTTTAGTTCCACTTCAAATGTGCTGCTTGTGTTATGCTACTTTAGCTGTAGTTATAAAAAACACAGTCTAAATTATCTTAGCCCATCTCTGTAGGAGCTCATTATCGCTGCGTCAGTGCATAATCATCTTCTGTAAGTCCCTTCATAGCTAGAGTCCCTCTAACTTGACATTTTATCATATTTATCAACACGAGAACGAATTACCACCAATGTCTTCCCCCTCTGCTTTGTCCATCCATCTCCAAACTCCTTTGGCTCCCACACTGCTTTCCATCTTTCAAGTCGCCTTCGATTCAGAAATCTTACTGTGAATGCATTCCACTCCTAGGCTCACAATTAAGGCAATTTAGTTTGAATATGTAACAACGTCATTACCATTCCAGCTAAATTAGCGCAGGGACTAAAGGTCACTTAGGAATTTTCCAGTCGGTTAGAGCCTCTCACATGAGATTTGGGAAGCAAATGCAGGAGTGGTGGAAAATCTGGACGATTAATGTGAGCAGCGCTGGCACACTTTGGGTTGGACGAGACTTTGATTCACCGAAAAATGTGTTTATGTCTTGACTGACCGTGGCTGTCCATCCAGGTTTTCTTTTTGTGTGGAGGAACTCTGACTTTCTAAACTTCTCTCTACCCTAAAAGTCACTTTGAATTTGCGGTTTTAAACTCTCTAAGTTGTTGACTTTAAGTTCCATCAGTTAAAGTGTTGGTGTGCCAGTAAATTTAAAATGCCATACTACCAAGCACTGCATTTAATAAAATTAGACTCTTCATGTGCAAATCCTTTTGCATCAGTATTTTATGACTTCAGAGTTTGTGGGTTTATTCTGACCAAGAGGTAATTCTCTAAATCCTCACATCAAAGCAGTCCGGAAATTTGCTGTTTGCCAGTAAAGACGTTGAAACTTTGCCATAGAGAAGTACTTTTTTTTTATTCATTCATTAACGTATTCTTATATTGACCTTAAATTTTTAACGCTATTGTATTATCAAATTAGGGTCTTATCTCAAAATCCATCCTGTAACCAAACAAAAGGAAACAGTCTGGCAGATAAGAGACTAGAAGACTCTTAATACATGACTTCCATCTAAACAGTTGTATGTTCGCTCCGGATCATTAAGATAATTGTTCTTCTGAAAGGTCAAGATTCACCTTAGCTTGGGTTTAACAACTTTCTCTGCAAAGCACAATATGTGCATGAAGACCAAACATTTATATGCCGGTTTCATCTGATTGAGGCATTCTTCAATGCCTTTAGCCACACTAATACTGGGATTGAATTACATGTTGGTTTTAAGCATGAAAAATGCTTGAATACTTTTGTAAGGCAAGGATTTTTGAAGTCAGCTGTGCTTCTCAGGATGCACTTATGTGCCAAGACTGTTCAGCTATGCAAACATATATCTGTCAATATCAGTAAGCTTATATCCATAATTGGACCAGAGTCAGATTAACCATTTTGGCACAGTCACAACACCAGTGAGAGTTTTAGGGGCTAACTCTCTACTATTTAAGAATGAAGAGAGTTTGTAGTGGAGTAAGATAGCCACGGAGGGAGTGTGAGAGAGAGGCAGGGTGTGATAAATAGAGAGATAAAGAGAGATGGGGCTGGGATAACACGGAGGCTGATCGTTGGATAATCTTGAACAGCGTGCTCTAATTAGAATTCTTATGATACAATTTGGTGGTGGTAATTAGTGGAGATGGGCTGGCTCCTCTCCACGAGCCTTGTTAGTGGAAACACAGCTGTGTTAGAGAGGAGCAGTGCAGACACTCCAATCTGTCAGAAAAACCACGAAATGATGCCTTCCGCCTCCTCCTTAACCCACATGTGTATGTATCTCTTTCCCACATCATGAGTCATGACTAAGATTTTGTCTTCCTCGTGCTGTAGCTCAACTTGGTGTCGAGTGTCACCATGTCGAAGAACCTGCCCTCAGCGTCACCCCCGAACTTACCTCAGACGCCCACCACGCCCACAGCCCCCATCACGCCCATGGCTGCTATGCCCCAGGTGCCATCGGTATTGGGAGGAGCCAACGTCCCCAGCATGGGAGCCATGCGCAGACGCCACTCGGACAAATACTCCATGCCTTTGTCGTCGGGTAGGACCAACTACTCAGCACTGCACGCAACACCAATTCACAAAGAAACCGATAAAATGTATTGTGTCATATATATATATATTTTCACAAAGATCTTCAATATATTGTACAAAAGATGTATCTGACCCACACAAAATGAATGCCATTACAAAGTAACAGTCAAAATAAATACATTTGGAGCTAAAGACATGGTGGTGGAAGCATCATGCAATGGAGATTCTTTAGCAGCTAGTGGAAAGTTGCTGAAGGTTCTGTTAGATTGTGACATAAATGTGAAAAACCTCAAAGGGGAAGAGTATTTTTATAGCCTTATTTTTTAGCTTAATAACTGAATTAAATTCCACTTTTTTTGTCATTTTAAATTGGTTTAATTTAAAATTTAATGAATGCTGAAACAGTAAATTATAGTTATGCCTCAACCCTTGCAATTAATAGTTTGAAAACCAAGAATTGCACATTACACATCTTAAATGAACACAATTGCAGTGGTGTGTTAAGAAGTCTGTGAGGTTTATAAAAGCAAGCCTGTATTTAATCACTCTAAATGTAAACGGACAAGAACTTCCGCTACGCATAAATATTGCATGAATGTTAATTAAGTTCAAATAATGGTGGAAAAATACAATATTTATTACATTAAGACGTCCCATGTATTAAGGTTTGCATTTTAAACGGCCCGTCTTTGATGTTTATATTTACTCTCTGTGTTTAGTGTGAAGAAGCATAAATTATTCACTTCAACCCTAACTAACTACATGGATCTCATATACCAATGTATAAGCGTTTAATATCTCTCACGAGAGAGATTAATTAAAAATGCATTTTGTTAGACATGGAAAGTGCTGATTTGATGTGCCCTCCCTTTCAACCCCCCCTTCCCTCTCTGTCCCTCCTCCCCCCCAACCCCTCCCCATTTTAATTTGATGAAACCTTGAGCTAATTCAGCACCTAAAGGTATGAAATTTGCCAATTATTTCAGGTGGTGACACAGTATTTATTTTTCCAGAGATTGCCCCAAACTACGAGTTTTATAAGAATGCAGACGTCAGGCCGCCATTTACTTACGCAACCCTCATAAGACAGGTGAGTGGGGAGGAAAAAAATTGACTTTCGCCTAATTAGGGTTTAAACAAACTGATCCACCTTTTCTCATCTTTGCCATTCTCAAACCAACATTGATCATTTCATTTCAGGCTATCATGGACTCCGCCGACATGCAGCTAACGCTTAACGAAATCTACAGCTGGTTCACGCGCACATTTGCGTACTTTCGACGCAACGCTGCAACTTGGAAGGTAATCCTCTCAAAGCACATGTGAAGACAGCCCAGATTTATTTAGTACTCCTCATGTTCCTTCTTCTGAATAGAGCTCATTCTTTTTCTTTTTATTTATTATTCCAGCACGCCGCCTTTTCTGTTTAGAAATGACAGCTGGAAGAATCATTCCCCCCTCACATATCGTTTTCTAATTTGGTGCAATTAATAGCGGAGGCCCGGTGTGGATAGGAGAGGGCTTTGACGCACTAATTATACAGCAGCCACTCCATCATCAGCACCTTTTGTTAAGAGATACACCCCTCCTCCTAGTCCTGAAACCACCTTCCCTCGCATATCAACGGTTAATTGCAAGGAAAGGTGGCTGGTTTGCCTGTTAACCAGCTCTCTGGTAGACATCTTAGCACACAAATGCACAGGAGCGGGGTTAACTAAAGCATGGGGGAGGAAGCGAGAATAGGGATGTCATTGAGGGGTGAACTCTTTATTTACTTACACAAAAGAACCCCATTTGTATGTCGCTACAACTTTATGGTCCTGTCCAGCCTTACAAAGGTGGTGAAAAATGTCCGTCCCGCAGCACGTGCTTTCAGCCAGGAGCGTGTCTGTGTGCTGATAAAGGAAACTAAGCCGAGTCGTCAGTGTTTCATCCCGTGGTCCCCTTGCATGTCATCTGTTTTACCTTTTCTTCAGCCTCTGTGGCTGTACAGAGGAAAAACTCCAGCAGCCAGTCATCAGCATGCAGAATGTGTCACGGCACTAGATTTAGCAAAGTGAATTAATTTGGATTTGGGATGCAAATGAGCAAACGGGTGTGTGATCACGGATTTGAGGGGGCATGCGTTGAGATCGGTGCCCTTTCCTAGATTGTTAGGTACAGTATGCTCCATGTTTTGCTGTGTAACAGTGTTTTGACAAGATGTGTTCTCAGGATTTCTTTTGCACGAGAAGAAATCAAAGCTCCTCCTGTTTAAAACCGGTTTCACTCCTTCTTTCCCAAACAAATCCTATCGTTTCAGCGATTTTAGAAATATCTCCTGGTGATCTATTTACAACTAGAGTTTCACAATTTCCTTTGTAAGCATTAGCAGGATGATCAGCAATGGGCTTGTCATGTGATTAACGGTCCAAATGTGTTTTTTTTTTCTGTTTTTTTTTGTAAGAATTGAGAGCGAAAGAAATGAAAGGTAGTTTAATATCTCAGCGTCGTCTCATCAGCTCAAAAGAGCGATCTGCCCCCCACCCTATCCCACTTTCCCTTTCTCTCTCTCTCCTCTCTCACCCAGAAGCTTATTAGTTCTAACTATATAGCATGCATAATAAAACTGCTCATTTGCTCATTAATATTAAAATTATCATATTCAGAGCCATGGGCATTAAGATCAATCAAATCATGGGATTTTCAGGTCAGATGCAAGATCTGCTTATGAGTTTTTTTCTTTTCTTTTTTTTCTCTTTTTAGAATCCCTTTCTTTTGCAGAAAGAGCTGTACACACCAAGCTAAAGGGAAATGATAAATATTAGAGACATGGATATTAAAGCCGGGGTTATTATTTATAGGGCCTTATGCATTCTTTAATCATACTTATGTCATCATATAATTTTCCTTCTTAAGGTTATTGTGGTTTTAATTTATGCACAACCTTTTTTAATCCAAGACAATGAATTGAAAACAAACTGAAAAAGGAATATTTGGACCGATTGATGTCTAAGCCTCTTTCTAACACACACTTAAATGATCTTAAATACACATGCGCATCAATGCAAGGCCTTCTAGAAGACTTTTTTTTCTTCTTGCAGCTCTGTCATCTTTAAAGCGATGTGTCCATTAAGAGCTCTGCTTTTCTGGAACAGGAAGGGTTACTGACATCACCATTATCAAGGCCGGCATTACCACTTCTGTCACCACCATAAGCCATTCGCTATGCTGATTACCTCCTTTTAGCCTACTTACTCTGATTGATATGTACTGTGTGCAGGACTTGTAAGAGCATTCGCTCTCACTCAATTTTTACTAATTAAATCAATGGTGCGTGAATGTTAAGAATTTTTTTTTTGAAATGTGAAAAAAAAAATCAATTTTCAGGCCTTTTTTTTCTCCTTATGATGGATAATGAGTGAATATGATTTGTTTTGCCTCATCTTGTCTGACCTGTGCTTGTCGCTTTTTTTCTACAGAACGCCGTCCGCCACAACCTCAGCCTGCACAAGTGCTTTGTGCGCGTAGAAAACGTGAAGGGGGCGGTGTGGACGGTGGATGAGGTGGAGTACCAGAAACGCAGGTCGCAGAAGATCACAGGGTAAGGCTAGCAAAAGTAGTTATTTGCCTTTAAATCTTTTAAAATATTGTCACAATTTCAATACATTTCAAGTGTTTTTATGAAGGGGACCAAAACATGGTAGCATGGATTAGTGAAGCAGATTATGATATCACAAATTATGATTCTACCACCACCATATTTCTGTTCTGCTCTGTCTTGCCTTCCTTTCGAACATTAAGAATTGCAAGACAGTTTTCATGCTTGCCTTGCACCCTATGAGACTTAACAAAATAAAGCCTAGATTTCTTCTTACCATTCTTAAATAAAAGTCAGAGTGTTAAAGTGTAAACCTTATAGATTTGATTGCATTACTTACAAGGGGACTTTACTTTTGTTTTCTTTTACAATTTCTGAAGATTGCACTGGAATATATATAGGGGTTTCTGTGTAAATGGGCCTGGATACACTTTCTGTGCTTCTATTTTAAGAAGCAACAATAACAATTATATTTCCTGTCTGCCCAAATTACACAATTCAAGTGAAATTGATAGAATTTAGTACTGAAAAGATAATAAATGTTACACATTTTCATAGCTTAAGTTGAACAATAGATATTAAATAGCAATCGCCACTGCCATTCAAGCCATTCAAGTATGAGCAGTTGAAGAGAAAATTTAGGAAAATCAATATTTGTTATCCTCCATAATGGTATTAAAATTATATATTTCCTTAATGTTTCCTTAATATGTATACATATCTCTGCAAGGCACATGATGGAGATTAGATCAAGCAGTGTATTGTGAACAGGATAGGGAGGTTTGTATATTTATTTATTTATTTTTTGGTTTGTTTTTTTCTTCTATTTAGAAGTCCGTCTCTTGTGAAGAACCTGCCCTCCAGTCTTGGCTATGGAACGGCATTAAACGCCAGCTTACAGGTAGAACTCCTCACTCAATCCTACATTAAGCATGAGCTGAAGCACTTTTCGGCTTATCTCTCCCTCCACACCTTTTTTTTTCTATCCATCCCTTTTTCTGTCCACCTTCAGACCCAGAAGGCCACCCTGTGGTCAAACCAAGCAGAAACTCTTCCTTCCTCATTCCTGTCCTTTTTCCCCTTTCTCCCAGTTTGTTGCAGCCACCTTAGATTGATTGTGGCATGTGCAAATGCAAGGGCATGTGCATTAATATTTATCTAACCTGTCATAAATGATTTGGCTTCATAGTGTACGCCAGCGAGGTGCTCATGGCAAAAACTTTAAAAATTTAATCACTGTATATAACTTTAATGTGCAGCAGGCTAAAGTGTCAGGAGTTTTTATTATTTTGAGGTAAAGTTTTTGGGAGCCTTTTTATTATTTTATTAATACATAGCCTCTCTACTCAAAGGCATAAGAATGGCAGTTACTGGGAGGTAATCTGCAAGCTTCCACACATGGGAAAAATTTCCTGCAACATAATAACAGAAGGATATTGTATTTAATAATTGCTATGTTAAATCATTTCATTCCTCAGCTGTCTCTTTTTTCACTCTTCACAGTGGCTCTAAACCACTAAATACCTTCTGCCTTTGCAAACCATTTATTCACTGAACATTTCATGTAATTATGCTTCATATGCTTCGCATCTTTCTTGCTCCCTAATAGCCACACACCCCTCATTCTTCTTCTTCTCATCAGTATTTTCCCTTTTTCTTATTTTCGTTTCTCTTTTTCTCCTCTGCAGGCTGCCCTGGCAGAGACCTCCCTGCCTTTGCTGGGGACCCCTGGGCTCATGAGCAGCGCCACAGGCCCAATGGGAGGCAGCTGCCATGGCCTGCTAGGGGGCGACCCATCTGGACCGACCGGCGGGAGCCCACCTGGACTGTTGGGCGGAAGTCCACCCGGCTTGATAGGGATCAGCCCACCTGGAACGTTGAGCGGCAGCCCCCCGACCATGTTACAGTCCGCACACGAGGATCTCAACGGCGCACTTGACCACCTTGACACCAACGGACACAGCAGCCCTGGGTATTCCCCTCCAGTACACATGTAAGTAAAATATATTCTGGAACTTATCTGTTCTGGAGTTCAGAGCATAAATATTCAAACTACTTAAGCTTTTGTACATTTTGTCATAAAGCACCAAATGCAGGTTCATTTAGAAGATTAACAGAAAGCAAAGTACAATTGGTTTTACTAACTGGAAAATGTTGGTCTTGTTAGTTTTTAGTAACCCTTAATCTGATCCCGCTAAAATAAAATCTTAGTAACAAAAATCAATAAATAAAAATCAGCCCATGATCCAAAAAAAAATGGTGTAAAACAAGAAATGGTTTGTTCCAGACAAGCTATGGAAGGAGAGCATTTAGATTGCCAAGCAATCCATGATGACTCTGGAGGAGCTGCAGAGATTTATGGCTCAGATCGTAACCCAAATGCAGAACTAGATCAGACTCTGAATAAAGTAACGCTTCATTATTAAAATAGTGATGTACACTTTTCAAAAATTTGCTCTTTTGGTTTGATGCTACACATAGACAAACATACAGCTGGCATGCATATATACAGAGGATAATAGTCCAGATAATACAGATGCATGCTACATTCTTTACAGCTGTCTTTTAAGCTTAAAAAAAAGATACAAATTATGTATAATTTCCATCTACTCATGTGCTTTGTAGTCGTTCTCCATTACATAAAATAACACAAAAAAGTAGGACAAAAAGTGACCTACTGAGACATAAAAAAGCATTACTTAAAAAATGTTTGCTGATTAAATAATAAACCTTAATGAATAGTTGACCCTTTAATCTCTTCAGCGCTAAATATGTAGAAATGTGGCTTTTAAAAGCATTTGAACTTTTAGTCGCAATGGAAATGTGTCAGTTTCCACTTCTCAGATCTCTAAGTGTTCTTGTTTGATAAAGAAAGCTTAAGCTACCTTTTCCACTTACATGAACGTATCTCCCGCCCTATGTTGCTTTAATTGTTTGACATTTAACCCCCCGGATCAGTATCTGTTTAGTTAACACTAACCTCAGGGCAGAGCTCAATTTCTATTCTAGATTGCATTGAAAGCAGCCGCTCTTCTCCCTTTAAGTAGGATTTCATTGTCTTTGTGGTCATACAGTTTAAAATCTATATATAGGCTCTTGTGATCCCACTACTGTGTACGTTTTAGCTGCTATATTTTATGCAGGACTGTTCTTATTAATATTTAGCAAGTGTAGAATTAATTACTTTAAACATCTCTACTTTATGTAGCTGAAAGAGAAGGTTTGTGTTTGACTTTCAGAGACATCTAAGCCATTGTGTGAATGAACACACACGCATACACACACCGACACAAAGGCTGCGTTTTGAAACAAACACTGAAAATATCCTTTAATGCTTCATATGTGCTGTCTATCAAAGTTTGCGTTGCGACATTAATTAACCATTTGTGTAATGGATAAAGGATGCTTTCCATTGCCATTATTTATGAGAATAGAAGTGATAGAACGTTAATATATTAGGACATGTTTACTTCCCTGAAATGGAGTGTTAAGTGAGGCAAATCTGCCATGCTCTTGACAGAATCCCAGTGTTTGCACTCCCTAAGGTCATTTAATTTTCAGTAACAGAACAGCACAGACTCTTCCCTTCCTCTTTTCCCTCCGCTTTCTGTGGCCAAGTCGCCTCAACACTGACACAAGTTGTTATGGAGGAAAAGAGGCGTCTAGCCTTCCCTCTCTCTCTCCACAGCCCCTGCCCAGCTTTCATGTAGTCCGCGACAACCTCGAAATGGAAAAAATGTGTTTCTCAGCACTACTTTTTGCTGTACGTCTTTAAATAATAGAGCGGCTCGTAGCACAAAACTAAATAGTACATCACCTCGAAGACCTGTTTTTGGAGAAGAGTCATAAGCCCAACTGAGTCCACTCAACTGTTAGACAAACCTCCTTTTCCCCTAAATGTCTAAAGGTTAATGATGTCTGCTTAACCGCAGACCAACTTGCCCTGGGCCATGCTAGGTGTGTGTATGTGTAAGTATGCATGTGTAATAAACTCATGTTCACCCTAAGGGGATTTATGCTTAAAAGAAGTGGTGGCTGTAATAACCAGAAATATCTGAACTCACAATTAGAACTTGCATCTTTTCTCACATTCAACACAATATGTTGAACCCAATTATTATGTTTTTTTTTTCTCATGTTTTTAATCGTTTCGCGTCCACACTTCTTTGGTGTAATGAACATCTTCCTCTTTTTCGGCCCCCTTCCCGCCATCACCGCCATCAAAAACCCTGGACTAATGACCTTATTTGCATCCCTGGCTTTACCTCTGCACAATTGCAGACGCTAATCTGCGATTGATATGAGAGCAAGCATCTCGGCCTATTTATTACACTGCATTTCAGACCAGCATTTACTCCCTGAGTGACTCAATAATGGCATCCAGCCATTAGGCACTAAATGGCTCATCCACATATTTTAATAAAATGTTGGAAACCCGAAGCGAATACGGCTGTTCATCACTTTTTGTTGTAAGGCATCCAAACATCCTAATGAGGAGTATTTTAATAGTGTGGGATCACTTAGATGCACTCATTAATATTTTGATATGACTAGTAGATTATCTGGACCCTTTCACAAAGTAAGTTTTAGTATGCAGAACGGGCGTGTGTGTAATTATTGTGTAGTCTGAATTGGAAATATGGTTGATACAAATTGAAATGTGTGGAAAAAATAGTGAACATATCCATGTAAAAAAAAAACGTGTTCGCTGAATGAATATTTTGCCTTTGGTGTAGCATTTTGATGCTTTATCTCATCTGCAACCTCTGCCTTTCACCCCCCGCTGTAAATCCACAGGACAGAAACAGAAATATTCATTGCTCCGCTCCAATCCTGCCAAGATCAGCCTCCTATCTTCTCATCCCGGCCACATCAGAATATTAATTTACAGTATTTGGCTGTGAATATTCAAGTCATCTGTACCTTTTAAAAATTATTTTCAAATTCAAAGGCTCCGCCGCCCTCCCTTTCCCCCCGCTGATGAAGGCGGCCCAGGAGAGAAGCATCCTAACGGTGCCGCCGCTTGATAAGTCTCCCTCTCCTCTTTCCGAGTCTACGGGGATTTTCTGATGCATCCGATGTGTCAGAAATAATTAGGTTTTGTCAGATTTATCATTGTTGCACAAACCCTTCTCCCCGACCAGGGCTCCGGATCATGTTATGCCTTGTTTGTGTGTGACAGCATTATTATTCTTGTGAGCTGCCCAGCACTTTTTTCCACCCACTCCTATGTTGTTCTGAAGGAAAAAGGCGTCATGTGCTGCTTCCTGCCCAGCACTTATTGACAGTGGCTAAAGATATTCATCCATTTAGAGTTAAAAACATGTATCATGGTGTCCGAGGGAACTGCCGGGGCTGAAGTTGATTAATGGCAGAAGCAAGCTGCTGGTTTTTCCTCTTGAGGAGCGACACACCACAGCCTCTGCATATTAACGAGTGGCTGTGCTTTCTATTAACTAGATAAAAAAGCCTCTCCTCTGCCTTTGCTCCAGGGGGCTCAGGGATGAGAAATTCTCCATTATTTATCATGTGGCCTGTTTTTTCCCCCCTTTTTTTCATGTATTTCAACCTGGTGTCATCAGTAAACTTTTAAATGCCAAACATGTCTGGTACATCACAGCTTATCGGCCTTACAGGGGCCGTGTTTTTCATGCAACTTTCATGTGCTTACTTACAGTAGACGTGAGGCATCGTGTTGAATTAGCGTCTTGCAAACAACATGGTTTTCACTTTCACTAGATAATAGGTGTCATGATTGTTTGTTTTTTTTTGTTACGAGAAAATGACAAATTGTAGAACAAGCATGAGTAAGGTTCTCATCGTATGGACAACCTTATCTAGTTTTTAAACACAAAGTTTATGAACAGAATAGAAAACATGCTTTAAATGTTTTAATTGAAAGCAATATGTATGCTTCTATGAATAGATTATAAAGGATATTAAAGCATGAATATACATTATTTTAATTTGAAGATAAAAATGTATAACTAGCTGAATAATTTTGTTGCTTCATTTTGCTCTATATTATCCCTTCTGGTTAGCAAGCTGGATTATACCTGACTAATTAGTTGATCTATCTCAGCTAGCTGGCCTCCTGACATCTTGTCAACTAGAGTGCAATATTTTCAAAACAGTCAGATTTCTTATTCAGCATGAAATGCACAACCATGGTTAATGAAAGTAGGCGGGTAAGTTAGTCTGTGCTGCATACTCTCAGAGAAAACTTTGTCACTCCTTCATTCCATCTTGCAAAAATAAAAAAGGCTGTTAAAGCATTGGAACGATGTGAGGAAGAGTTTTCTGTTGTGTAAAAAAGTAGCCATTTAAAACCAGATCACTAAATCAATTCATCCAGTTTTTACTTTCTACATTCTTGTTATTTAACCCCATCCTACTTCCTACTCCATGGGCCCTAATTACCTTTATGTTTTTTGTTTCCTTATAATGGATAATAAGTTGATTATACAAAGTAGCCTTGATTTAATATATCTTATATCTGTCATTCTGGTACATTAGAATATAGTTGTTAGAAGCTCCTTAAAGGGAAGATTGGGTTGAAATAATACATAATATTTATATTATAGAAAGGCTGACTTTTTCCATCAGATTTTAATCTGAAAAATTTAAAAATTATTGGAATTATCAGACTGTTGGTTAATATTGTGGGTTTGGGTACCCTTATAGAGTTACAGACTGTAAATAGTTTGCTTACAGTTCAATACATGTACAGAATATATGTACAGATTCTGTTGGATGTTGTGTTTGGAAAGAAAAAAAACTAACAGTAAAAGCGGTATGTATACTTGTATGGGAAAAAATATTTTCAATAAAAAGTGCAAATATCAAAAAAAAAAAAAAAAAAAGAATATACTGTAGTTGTTACAAAATGTCTTGAGACAAACAGTCCCATTTCATGCTAAGAAATGTCAAAAACGAATGACCAAACTAACAAAATAGTGAAATAATTACACCTTAAAACCTTGGTAGACCTTAAAACTGGGAATCAGCCCATGCTTAATTACAAACAGGTAAAGGGAAAACCATATGCCAGCTCCTTGAATCGTCAGGATGTCTTTGTATAGCTTTCTATTGAGTCCTAGTTGTTGCAGAAAACATTTTAAAACACCGTATTTTTCTTTTTCACAGGCCCCCTGTTCACGTGAAGGAAGAGCCTCTCAACATGGATGATGATGACTGTCCGATGTCACTCGTGACGACGGCCAATCACAGTCCAGAACTTGACGATGACCGGGAGCTGGAAGAAGGGAACCTATCGGAAGACCTGGAGTGACTAGGATATGGTTTATGGTCAACGTATCCCTCCACTCTACCACACTGTTTCTCTTACACAGACCTACAAGACTAAAAAAAAACCACTCCACAGTCCAAGCAACCACAGCTGACTCTCTTTCTCACCACTGGGACTATTTATTGAGCATGTATCCGGATAGAGACCAATCCAAAGGAACTCTTTGTTGCAGACCTTTAGGATTCCCAAATCTGACAGACATGAGATGTCTGTTGTAAAAAGAAAAAAAAAAAGAACTCACTGAGACCTGTTATATTTGGGGGTGGCATGGCCACATAAAGTGAAAGGATGATGGACTCACTGATAAGGTGGACACATGAAACAAATAAGCAAATCATGTTCTGTTGAAAGCTAGCGGCCTCCTAAACTGCCAAAAAGGAAGACGTTTTACGTTTGTGAATAACCCAGCCCACAGTAGTTGTTAATGTCTAGAGACGATTGCTGGTTCAATTCAAGTTGTTGCTCTGTTCTCATTTGCACAGAAGTAGTCTCGGAAAATCGTGTCACTGCCTGTATGTTGCTACTATTATTAAACTCAGCAAATTATTTTTTATCATTTTTTTTTAACCATTAATTTCCATATCTGATTTTTAGACATCACCAACTGTAAATTGCATTCTTCAAGCCACATCTGCAGTACCAAGACTGTTTTCACAACTGTTCAGAGAAAAGAAAAAGAAAAATAACAAGTAAAAAGTCAGCTTTCAGTCTATGTGTTTGTGATTAAAAGTCTCAAATGAGAAAGGAGAAGTAATAAGAGCTTGTGTAAAAGCGCCATTTACAATACAAAATGCATTTCTTCGTATCTTTCCTCTTGCTCTTCTTACCTCGGCGTTCCAAAGCTTTGTCTACCTGCGAACAGTGACAGGCAACAGCTAGAAACCAAAGCCAATACTAGCAATTGCCAATAGCTTACAGGCAGAAGCCACCAAACTCTTCTTTTTGGTCTCACCTTCTGTGACTTTAAACTATTTCAAAGAGAAGCTTTTTTTTTATCCACAGACTACCTTGGAATAAACCTCTGGGATCATTTCATTTAGCCCTATACAAAGATGATCAGATCAGAAACAAGTGCTGATTCTTCATGTGTAATTTGGGAAGTCATAAAAACGTCCGTTACGGTTATCCACTGCCAGGCATTCTGTCAGTGAAATAACCATAAAAATGGACCATAACCAAAATAAATAATTTGTGTATTCAATATAAGTGTAAAACCATCTTGATGTTTTGAGGATTGTGTTAATATTGTATTTTTGTTATGCATTACACATTCAAACCTTTGTTTTTGTTATGGGTGGGACCGTCCAAATACTTTTACGTCTTTACTTCTGTGGCGGTTTTTGTTCTGAGCTGCATCAAATAACTGAAAACACTACTAACCAAACATGAAAAATATCTAGTAAAGCCAAATAAGTCATAATTTCAAGTAAATATGAAATAATGTGGCTTGGTTACCGTGGAAAGCAAAACAGTGATAGCCATGGTAGAAAGAGGATCCAAGGTAACCTTTTTCTAGGTGAGATTTGCTTTAACCTCATTCAATACTCGTTATCTTTCCTTTAACTATACAGGCTTGTTCACACCAGAGTAACTTGTATGGGTGGACAGCTTTTTATGGCACATTTTGTAATCACAGACGAAGAAGTACATCCATGATTTCACTTATTTGCCATTTTGTACCTTAGCCATTTTTGTTCATTTCAAACCTGACTTCTTTTTAGTAAAAATTGGTGCCATTTACATTTGGTCAATTTCTGTCAGCCATGCACCAAAAGTTTTATGACATTCAATAGACAAATTGTTGTCAAAACTACAAACAAAGGCAAAAAAATGTCCTCTTAAGGTTTCCAATAACCCATGATTAATTACCGTTACGTTCTATCTGAGGATTTTTTCATGCTTATAATTTATGAAAAACACCAAACCATATCAAAAAATGAAGGCATACAGAATGGTGTAGGTACTTGGTATTGAAACTGTTAGTTTACAGCTATAAAAAAAGTAGGAGAAATCAGAGGGAAAATGAGTCTGTGAGAAATGGGGGTACGAATAGCCGAGGGGTAGAATTGATCCTTGAGTGTTTTTGCTTTAACGGCCGTTTTCGTTTTCAGTAAACCAAAGTAACACAAAATTCTGCCTCCTCTTGTACAGGATAAGCATCGATACTCATAGTCACGCCATGCTGGAGTCTGGCATACACACATACAGAGACCTGGTGGTCAGCTTTACCGTTTTCACAATATTATGGCTTTTTAAGGAGCAACGTGTTGACCCCGTTCTGACCAAAATCCTAGCCGTACTGTGCGTGCAGCGAGTCCAAGTTGTGAGGCCAGAGCTCAAACACACAGATACTGTACAAAAGCAGTACTTGTTGGCTGCGACACCTCAAGAGGATAGGAGTCAGTGACTTGGGAAAAAAAAAAAGCATTCTTAATCTTATTACACCAAATAAAAAGGGCACTTCGTTTGTCGTTTAAAAGGAAAAACAATAAAGGGTACTCGCATTTACCCAAAATAGGCTTTCTAAAAGCTTCTACCTCTGCACAACAACAGAACAACTACGACAGATTGCACGAGTTTGGAGAGCTGTCCCACTTTTCCACGCTTGTCTCAAGACCATTGTTTACATTCCCTGTGTCAAGATATGGAGGAGTCGCATTGTGATAGGTTGTCTGCAAACATTTGTAGAATGATAATGTATAGATTACATGTAAGGGGAATATTGTGTTTTTTTAAAAATGCATGTCTTAAATTCATTTGGTGGACTGGAAACAAAAAGAAATATAATAAAACTCATTGGGATGATGGCCTACATGTTACAATGCATAGGAGTGCATTACCTCAGAGGGATAAAACCTGTCAGCCACAGAATGCATATTACCTGTAGATTTGCATGGGTTTTGTACAAATTAAGTAAAAAAAAAATGTCTAAAATAGTTGCTTGCACATAATACCAGAAAGACCTCCAGACCTGCAATCTGCTCCTCCACTAGATTTAAGGATTGTCTGGATTTTCTGGGTTGATTTTTGTCTGTATTTTGATAACTGTGCATACTTATGTAAAAAGAAAAAAGGAAAAAAAAAAACAAAAAAACATGTCGGTGAACCCATGAAATTTAACAGACTTTTTTCTAAGAGGAAAAAAAAAAGAGTTCTGTGTTTCTTTTCTGACTTACCTGAATTTTTACTGTTTCTCTCTCATTGCTCGCTAAGAATAGCAAACCTGCTTTTTCTGCATCTGCTTTGCGTAGCTGTAAGGCTTTAACCTAATGTGTGTATTTATTGCTTGTACCTCTGTGCATACTTTATGAAGCATTATGTCTGGCAGTTGAGTCATGTATCCTTTCTACTGCAATCCTTCTCTAATAATTGAGAATATGATCCCCCCCTATGTATACAGTAAATCGGGACTGTAGCAAACATATGTTTATGTAATTGGTGATTTTTTTTTTTTGTTTTTCCATTTTATTTTAATCGAGATTCAACAAACTTTTTTTGATACTACTCATTCCTGTGTACTGTGTCCATATGTTAAAGGTTCTCTGACATTAGAAGGTCATGGTTGAGAATTGTAACAGACATTATTTTCTGTATTCATGGCATTTCACTGCTGAATAAAATAAAGGACCAAAACTTGGATTTTGAAAAAGCAACTGTCTTCCTCTAGCATCAGAGAGTAAATCACCCACCCCGCACCCTTTTTGCTGTTGAGCATTTATCTTTTATTCCACTAAGGCACAGCCATGAAAATCTAGCATGGCATTACACATTTAGGGTTTCAGGAGCTCCCACTTCAGAGAGAAGAAAAAAAAGGGATAAAATTTTAATGTATATGTTACCAGTTTTTTATTTCTTTTCTTTTTTTTCCCTTACAGCTGGAGCTTTGTTTAGAGAAGCGGGACAACGCAATGTGTTGCCCACCCTCTGGACTTGTAATGGGTTTAGCCTGTTTGGGATGTAAGTCCACTGCTTTCATGTGCCATAGGTATATCCTAGTTTATGTTTCTATGGTTTCTAGTCGTTTTATTGAGCTGCTTGAAGCAGTGCAAAACTAACTGGACTTTTCTATGGCTGCACAGACCATTGAGTAACACATCATTTCCTCTCCTTCACCTTTTATTGTACAATGCCTTAACGGACGTTCTTGCTTTTTTCCGTTGTTTACACAATGGAAAAATTCAGCTGTCTGAATTTATTTTTGACAAAAATAGAAATGAATTTAGTTTATCTGTTTCTTTGAAAAAGCTCTTCATTTAAAAGGATAATTTAAACCCAGTTTGTGGTAAAAAAAAATAAAAAATTCAGATATACCTTTGCCTATGAGATCTTTTAAGGAAATATGGAAGCACATTTTGAATTTTAAGCTCTTGTGGCATTCAAATTCTATTTAATACAATGGATGCCACTCTATATCAAATTTGGATTTTTCTTTTTTTAACAACTATAAGCAGAAGAACAGTTTCTAGAGTTTCTCGTCAATCCCTACAGGGTTTGGTCACAAGTGTTACCTTTTCTAGCCCCTTTTATTAAGTCTATGTATATATTTTTGAAATAAAAACTACATCTGTGTTTCTATTCAACTATGCATACATAGAGCGTAACAACATGTGCTTCTGTCATGTTTCTGTTCGAAAGGACAGATGTAAACTGGTTGCCAGATGAAATAATGCGATATTTGCTCATCTGTTGTTGTTGGTGTCACTTAGCAGTGCAGGAAAGGAGGAATACATGGATAGTTTTCCACCCCAACTGTACACCATTACTCGTATTAAGGCAGCTGTTTAAATCTGTGCGACACCCCACCCTCTTGTGTTAATACCTCTGTTATTAAATTGCCATAATACCTTTGTTATTAAATACCTTAGTTATTAAATTGAGAAAAAAAACACAAGGTTAAGTATGTAGAGGAGAAAAAGAAATGAAATTGCACCACACATTGTATTTTTCATGTTAAGGTTTCCTCTTGGTAGTTTGAAGGAAAAAATAACTGCTTTTTATCCCTCCGAATGATAGATGTTGACTGGTCTGACAGGCTATGTGGCTAAATCAAGTCCAGTGGACCTACCACACCTTGTTGGTCATGGAGCAAGCACACACTGACACACTCATTGAGATTCAAACTGAATCTACCATGACCAATAGGTTGCCCATTAGCTTGTCTGTATGCCCAGAACCTTCTACGCGTTCCAAAGGTTGCTCAGAGGGACATTGTGGCAGCCTTTTGAATTCCATCCACTGGTCATTTAATTATAAGACCTGATACATGTTATTTCGCTTTGCCATATGATGTCCCGTGAGAGGTCAAAGAACAATACCATTTTTCATACAAGCGTACAGACACAATTGTCCTCCCCAGACATCAACTTTGGCAAGCTCCTGTTATCTTCTCAGCAAATGGTGTTCCAGAGCATTAGCCAGCTCGCAAGGCGCTTGTCTTCCATGCTGTTTATGCACTTGGAAGTGTTTGTGAATTCAACTGAGGGATGGCATACGGAGCGCAACAAGGGCCGCTGTGTACTGCACAACATCAGAGGGAGCTCCAACAT